CGCTGCTCGCCGTAGGAGTAGGAGTACTCGAGCAGGAGCTCGTACTCGTAGCTGTAGCTCGCGTCGAGGGGCGTCGGGAGAGGTGTCGCAGTCGGCGCGGCGGACGGCTCGGGCATCGGCGCGGACGTCGGGTTGGCGCTCGGCGCTGCGCAGCTCGAAACGTCGACGCAGTCAATGCAGCTGGACACATCCTTGATCGTTGGTAGCAGGCGGTCGATATCGTCGCACTTGAACTCGGCAGTCCCACTCCACGAACTTTGAAAACCAACGACGCTCTCATCGTCGAAGGCTGAGTCGAGGCTGTAAAGAGTCGTCGAGCCGCTCATAGTGATGGCGTCCTGATCGTTGCCCTCGAACATACAGGAAATCAACTCCACCGCGGCCGTGTCCGCGATTTTTAGGGCGCTCCCGTCATGGCCCGCGGTGTTATCTCGAAACACGCAGCCATCGAAGGTGACTTGTGCCGAGTTTCCCACGTATGCAGCTGAACCAGCCGGGCTGCCGGCCGTACCGCAGTCTTCAAATAATGTGTTCCGCACCACCATCTGCGACCCAGGCAAAAACACGGCGCCCCCTCTGAAGCTGGAATACTCACTGCGGAAGACGGTATCCGTGATCTCGCCGTTTCCGCCGTAGATAGATCCACCAGAGTTGGCGGCTGTGTTGTTCTCAAAGAGACATCTCGTTATGTTCAGGTATACAAACCGATGAACTGCGTTGGCAGCGCTATTCAAAAACTCGCAGTCCGTCGCCGTGAGGGAATGCGACCCCCCCATGACAGAAGTGTCGATCAACCGGTACCCGCCATTAAACCGGATGTTGTCCACGGTAAGATAGCTGTTCCGATTGACGTACAAGAGCGTCGTCGACGCGTCTCCGGAAAGAGCGTGACGACCCGAGCTGGTCAGGGACACGCTGTGTCCAGACGGGACGTAGAGCCCGGATGCTCCCGCGGCAGAATCCTCCACGGTGATGTCGGCGCGGATGTCTATCACGACCTCGTCGATCAGCATCGCGGCTTGGAGCTTTGCGTAGGTGTTAACGCAGGTGACGGTCGACGAGAAGGTGATGCCGCAGTTGGTCACCGAGCAGCTACCGCCGATGCCCGGATCGGAAAACGAGAAGCACCAGCCGAGGTCCTGGTCGAAGGCGTCGGCGCTGGAGAACATGCGGCTCATGTCCGTGACGGACGACGTGTCCCAGGCGCCGATTTCCTGGTCGAAGGCGTCAGCTACGTAGAACATGTAGCTCATGTCCGTGACGGACGACGTGTCCCAGGCGCCGATGTCCTGGTTGAAGGCTTCAGCATCTGCAAACATCCAGCGCATGTCCGTCACGGCCGACGTGTCCCAGGCGCCGATTTCCTGGTCGAAGGCGTCAGCGCTGTAGAACATGCTGCTCAAGTCAGTCACGGACGACGTGTCCCAGGCGCCGATGTCCTGGTTGAAGGCTTCAGCATCTGCAAACATCCAGCGCATGTCCGTCACGGCCGACGTGTCCCAGGCGCCGATGTCCTGGTCGAAGGCCTCAGCATCGTAGAACATGTAGCTCATGTCCGCGACGGACGCCGTGTCCCAGGAGCCGACGTCCTGGTCGAAGGCGGAAGCATCCGAGAACATCCAGCTCATGTCCGTCACGGCTGACGTGTCCCAGCCGCCGACGTCCTGGTTGAAAGCGCCAGCATCGAGGAACATGCCGCTCATGTCCGTCACGGACGACGTGTCCCAGCCGCCGATGTCCTGGTCGAAGGTGTCAGTCCAGCGGAACATGGAGCTCATGTCCGTGACGGACGACGTGTCCCAGCCGCCGATGTCCTGGTCGAAGGCGTCAGCGCTGTAGAACATCCAGCTCATGCTCGTCACGGACGACGTGTCCCAGGCGCCGATGTCCTGGTTGAAGGTGTCAGCGTTGGAGAACATGTAGCTCATGTCCCTCACGGACGACGTGTCCCAGTCGCCGATGTCCTGGTCGAAGGCGTCGGCGTGGTAGAACATGCGGCTCATGTCCGTCACGGACGCCGTGTTCCAGGTGCCGATGTCCTGGTCGAAGGCGTCAGCGCTGTAGAACATCCAGCTCATGTCCGTGACGGACGACGTGTCCCAGGCGCCGATGTCCTGGTCGAAGGCGTCAGCTACGAAGAACATGTAGCTCATGTCCGTCACGGACGACGTGTCCCAGGCGCCGACGTCCTGGTCGAAGGCGTGAGCGTGGTAGAACATGCCGCTCATGTCCATCACCTTCGACGTGTCCCAGGCGCCGATGTCCTGGTTGAAGGACTGCGCGTTCGTGTTGGAGTGCGTGCAGGCCCAAGAATAAACGCAAAAGAGCTCCGACATGTCCGTCACCTTCGACGTGTCCCACGCGCTGATGTGGCCGTACGTCTCTTCGGCCGCGTCCGAGTCCGCGAGCCACGCGTCGACCGCGGTCTCGAGCTCGCTCTTGTCCGCGAAGCTGTACGGCGTCGACTCGTAGCTGTACGAGAAGGTGATGTTCTTGTAGAGGTAGCTGAAGTTCGTCGGCGCGGCCGTGGGCTGGTCCGTGTAGTCGTCGAACTCCGCGTAGTACTCCGGCGTCGGCTGGTCCGTGTAGTCGTCGAACTCCGCGTAGGTCGGCGCGCCCGCGAAGCCCTCGAGCGCGTCCCGGACGATGGCCGCGAGGACGTCGCTGCCGCGGTCGGACGTGTGCATGCCGTCGTCGTCGTAGTAGGCCTCGCAGGCGTCGTCGACGTCGGACGCGTCGCAGCCCGTCGCCTGCAGCCACGCGGCCCGCGCGTCGACGAAGCGCACGGGCACGGCGAAGCCGTCGCCGCGCGCCTCCACGAAGGCCGCGACGGCGTCGGGGATCTCGCCGTTGACGAGGTCCATGTCGATGTCGCAGCACGTGCCGACGGCGAGGTAGGGCGCCGCGACGAAGACCGCCTCGACGCTCGGCGCGTCGGCGATCGTCGCCTCCACCAAGTCGGCGTAGGCCTCCACGAAGTCGTCCTCGTCCCACTCGAGCTTCGCGTCGTTGATGCCGAGCATGACGACGACGCAGTCCGGGTCGAAGTCGACGGCGTCCTCGTACTCGTCCGTGCCGACGTAGCCCCGCTTGCCCGACACGGACGCTCCGGACGCGCCGAAGTTCTCGACGTCGACGCCGAGGAGGGCGCCCAACGTTTTCGGGTAGTTGCCCCGGTCGAGCTTGCCCTCCTCGGGCTCGTCGGTGTGGGTCGTGTCGCCGCGCGTGATGGAGTCGCCCATGCAGGCGATGCGGCTCCAGGGCAGCGTGGGGTAGTCGTCCGTCGGCGTGTTGTCGTCCGTGGAGTGGTCGTCCGTCGGCGTGTTGTCGTCCGTGGAGTGGTCGTCCGTGGAGTAGTCGTCCGTCGGCGTGTTGTCGTCCGTGGGGTAGTCGTCCGTCGGCGTGTAGTCGTCCGTGGGGTAGTCGTCCGTCGGCGTGTTGTCGTCCGTGGGGTAGTCGTCCGTCGGCGTGTAGTCGTCCGTGGGGTAGTCGTCCGTCGGCGTGTTGTCGTCCGTCGAGTAGTCGTCGTAGTCCTCGAGCCTCCGTCGCGCGCCGCAGCCCGCGCGACACCTCCCCGGGCAGGCGACGCTCGCGACGATCCCAGCGCTGCTCTTCCAGCCGGAGCAGTGGCGCGTCGAGGAGACGCTGCGGCAGTCGAGCGTCGGTTCCCCATGCTTGTGCCATGTCGGATCATCGCGACAGCCCGCCTTCTCCGAAAGGGCAGCCCGCGCAGCCCCGACGCGCGCGGTCGCGCACAAGACGGCGACCACCAAGGGCAGCCGCCGCATCATCGGTAGGGAGTACGCCTGAATTCAATGCAGTCACCGCGGCGTTCATCAACAATCTCCGCGACCTATCCTGGATACGATTGGCCGCGCATCACCTGGCTCGCTCGACGCTGAAGTCTGCAGCGTAGAGAAATGAAGGCAACTACGGAAGGAAAAGCACGGTAGGCTTCGACGGAGGGCCACCGATGGTCCGGGAAGATCGGCGAAAACTATGAGGGTACCGTGCTTGTGTCGAGCACTCCCGCGCAGTGGGCGGTCCCCCACTGCGAGGAGGAAACTTTAGTGGGCACGAAAGCATTAGGTGGGAATTCAAAACTTCATCCAAACCGGCAGCGCTGGCTTCATCAAAATGCGGTCGCCACGCCCCGCGCCCACGCGCTCTCCGCCTTAAAAACAAAGTCAGCCGTGGCTTACCGGAACGCGCCCTGGCTGTCGACGCCCGCGCGGAGCGTGGCGGCGAAGTTGGCGGCGCGGGACGCCTTGCGGAGCTCGCGGATGCGCGCGTTGTCGCCGCGCGAGTTCGGCCGGCTCGAGCCGCCCGTCGGCGGCCGGCTCGAGCCCGAGCCCGGCGTCGACGCGCCGCGGCTCGGCGGCCGGAGGTTGCCCGCGCGCGCGGACGGCGCCGTCAAATCGCCGATGTCGGGCGTTTTTGGCACGTCGGGCGCGGCCTTGTCGAAGCTCTCCAGCAGGTCGTCGAGCGCGCGGTTCTGCGCGTTCGGCGCCCACTTGACCTTGTCCATGCCCCGGATCTCCTTCTCCTTGACGAGCCCCTCGTACTCGCGGTTCTTGCGCAGCCGCGCCGCCTTGAACTCCGCGACGTCCGCCATCATCTCGCGCATGCCGAAGCCGCGGTCGTCGGCGACGGTCTCGTCCCTGCGCACGAGGCCCTCGCCGCCGCGCGCGCCCCGCGCGAAGGCCGAGATGCCCTGGTTCTCCTCGGGCTTGCGCTTGCGCATGGCGAGCTCTAAATTCCGCAGCATGAGCGGCGCCGCGGTCTTGAGCTTCGGCGCGAAGGTGTCCGTCTCGACCATGGTGTGCTTGATGTTGATGACGCGCTCGAGGGCCATGTGGCGCTGGTGGGACGGGAACGTCTCGTGGAGCCAGCCGACGGCGCGGAGCTCGGGCGAGTTCGCGTACGCGCCGTCGCCGCGCCGCGGGCCCTCGCGGAGGTAGCGCCCGTAGAGGGGCTCGACGCCCTCGCGCTCGAGCGCGTCGTAGAAGCGCTCGTCGTTGGGCATGAGCTCCGGGTTGTAGATGCGCGCGATCGCGGCGGGGTCGAAGCCGTCCTTGGGGTCTTCCTTGTGGTTCGCGTCCAACAGGATGAGCCCGAGCTCCTCGAGGGCGTCGCGGGGCGTCGGCGGCTTGCCCGCGGCGGCGCCGAACTCGGACTGGAGCGCGCGCGCGTCGCCGAGCCGCTTCGCCTCGCGGACGAGCGGGCGGACGCGGTCGCTGATCGCCGACGCGCCCGCGTCGTCGTCCCGCGCCTCGGCGATGCGCCGGCCGAGGCTCCGGTTCAGCGCCGCGGCGACCCTGGCGCGCCGCCGGAGCTCGCGGGCCTGGGACTTGGGCGACGGCGCGTCGTCGGCGTCGGGCGCGTTCGCGAGGCCCTCGAAGGGCCGGCGCGCGGGCGGCTCCGTCGCGTGGGGCCGGTCCGTGATGCAGCCCGCGTTCTCGATGGAGCCGGCCGGGAAGTCCTCCTTGTTGCTCGACGCCGTGAGGCCCGAGCACGTCTCGCAGAGCAGCGCGCCGGGCTTGAGCAGGCCCCGGCAGCGGCCGCAGTAGAGCTCCTCGCGGAGCGCGAGGCCCGTCGTCGCGTCGCCGTCGACGAGGAAGGGCAGCCCGAAGTCGAGGGGCGCCTCCGTCTCCCGCGCCCTCGGCTTCGCGAGGTCCCGGACGCCGCGCACCCACCTGATGGGCGGGCCGTGGTAGCTCCGGAGCCGCACCAGGGCTTTTTGCCGCCGCGCCTCGATGGCGGGGTCGAAGCTGCGGATCGTCGTCGCCGGGCGCAGCATGGCGGCGAATATGAGCTAGGCGTGCACCGTTAGTGTAGGGCTAAACACCGTCCCCCGCGGTTCCTCCCGGCCCCCCTACGTTTAGAGACACGTCAAGGCTAAACAGAGAGCGCTGGCTGCACCATCGCGTTTCATGATCACAAAGGATCTTTTACGTCAAGGTGCCTCGGGCAGCTCGCACGATGATGCGGCAGCCCATCAAGATGGGCTGCCTCGTCGCGCTGTTGCTGCGGCTCGCGCGCGCCGCCGCGACGAACGCGTCGAACGTGAGCGCCTGCGACCGCAGCGTCGACGCATCGCCCTACGTCGTGCTGCTCAAGTTCCACAAGGTCGGCGGCGAGGCGACGTCGGAGATCGTGAAGAAGCACTGCGCCATCCCGACGCTGGCGCCGGACGTCGCGAAGCGGCTCGTGCCGCACAACTGGTACTTCATGAACAACAACGCCTTCACGCACCAGACCATCAGCGTCTACCGCCGCGAGGGCCTCGCGGGTCTCGGCGCGCGGCTGCCCGCGTCGGCCGCGCCGCGCGCGCTGCTCGTCGCGCTGCTCCGGGACCCCGTCGAGCAGCACCTGTCGGCGCTCTACTTCTGGAGCGACCACCACGACTGGACGCCCGCGCAGCGCGCGTCGCTCGCGCACCCGCGGAACTGGACGGCCGCGGATTTCGACGGGCTGATCGCGGGCCTCGCGCCGCGCAAGTTCGGCGGCCACGAGGCGCTGCTATCACTGGCGCGCCACCGGCCGGACCTCGACGCGCGCGAGGCGCCCCTCCCCTTCGACGACGGCGACGACGAAGCCGTCGCGGAAGCCGCCGCGGCCGCGAAGGCGAATTTAAGGCGCGACGTCGCCGTCGTCGGCACGCTCGACCGCGACGCGGCCTTCCTGCGGCTCCTGGCCCTCGCGGCGGGCTGGCCGACGAGTAGCGTCTGCACGCACCTCCTCGCCCACGGCGCGGGCCGCATCTACCACAAGTACCTCGGCAGGAACCGGCGGCCGCCGGCCGCGGAGCTTTTAGGGCCCGAGCTCCTCGCGCACGTGCGCCACCGGCTCCGCGGCGACCTCGACCTCCACGCCTTCGCCGGACAGCTCCTCGAGGACCGGCTCCGCGCCTTCGGCGAGGGCGCCGACGCCGCGGACGCGACGTGGCGCGGCGCGTGCTGCACGGAGCGGGAAAAGCGTGATTCAACGTCGCTTCAACGTGAGGGTTCCGCGCGCGCGCGTTCCGGCGTCGAGAGCGCTCCGAGAGATGATCGCTCGTCCAAAAATCAGCCGAAACGAGCGGAAAATGACCGAGATATGAGTTGGGAATTTCGCACTCTTTTCTTGCCCAGGTGCTGCACGGGGCTCCGCGTCCGCGTGACGCCGGAGTGCCTCGGCGGCGACAGCGGGCCCCTCATACGGCCCATGCTCCCGAGGCACAAGGCGGGGGGGTAAAGCGTGGGGACTACTCTTCGATGGCGTTCGGCGCTTTTTAGCGACGCGTCCTAGAGGTAGGAGACGATGGCGGTGTTGACGTCGTACGGGACTCGGCTCCGCACTTCCTCCGGGACGCAGGCGCGAAGCAGCGCGGCGACGACCAGCGCGGCCTTGCGCTTGGCGGCGATGCCCGCGTTGCGCACGAGCCACCGCTCGTTGACGGTCACGCGGCCGCCGCGCGCGAGCTCGACGAGCGCCTCGAGGCCGACTGCCGCGATCGCGACCGCGTTGGCGCTGTTGTTGAGCGCGAGGTGGCGCAGCGCCCACGCGGCCTGCTCTTTGTTCCCGGCGTTCCCGTCGCGCAGGAGCTCGACGAGCGGCGGGATGCCGCCGTTCTCGGCGATCGGGACCCGGTTGGCCTCGTTGCACGCGAGGTTGCGCAGCGCGGCCGCAGCCCATTTCTCCGCGCTCCCGTTGCGCACGACGTCGACGAGCGGCGGGATGGCGCCGGCCGCGGCGATCAGGACCCGGATGGCGTCGTTGTCGCTCGCGAGGTTGCTCAGCGTCGCTGCGGCCGCCGCTTTGGCGTCCGCGCTCCCGTCGCGTAGGAGATCGACGAGCGGCGGGATGCCGCCGGCCGCGGCGATCGTGACCATGTTGGCGTCGTTGCACGCGAGGCTGCGCAGCGCCTCCGCGGCCGTCATTTTGGCCGCCGCGCTCCCGTCGCGCAGGAGATCGACGAGCGGTGGGATGCCACCGGCCTCGGCGATCAGGACCCGGTTGGCGTCGGTGTAGCGCGCGAGGTCGCCCAGCGCCCGCGCCGCCGTCGCCTTCGCTGCGTCGTCGCCCTCGCGCAAGGCGCGGACCAGCCCCACGATCTCCGCCATGCTTGACCCCTTCGATAACGCCGACGTTTCCCCATGCTTGCACATCAACTTTCTCTTGTGGCGTTCAAAATCGTGCGTGCTGGTGGGGCCGCGCCGCGCGCATCACACCACCTCGTGCCCAAAACGCGCGCGCAACGATGCCGCAGTTCTCGACGCTGTCCCGCTACGGCATCGGCAAGCGCTACGGCCTCGCGCCGGTCTGGGCTCAACGCAAGCCGGGCTCGCAGCAGAAGAAGAAGCGCGCGCGCGCGCCGGCGAAGAAGGCGGAGTGGAACGCCTATCTGACGGACGCGGGGCGCTACAAGCTGCCGGCGAAGGAGGTCGAGCGGCGCAAGAGCGCGCACGGCGACTGCGGGCCGCGGCGCGCGATCGCGGACGCCGCGGCGGCGCCGACGTGGCACACGCGCGCGCCCAAGGCGGCGGCGACGCCGGAGCGGCGGCCGCGCGGGGAGCCGTCGTCGGCGGCGACGACCGTGGGCGACGACGTCTTCGACCTCCTCGCGGACGGCGACGCGCCCGCGGCCGGCGACGCCGCGCGGCCGGAGTGCCCGGCGACGGCGGACCGCGACGCGCGGCCGCGGCGCGCGCTCAAGTTCCGCCGGTCGCCGTCGCCGCCGCCCCGCGGGACCGACGACGCGCCGCTCCGCGCGCGCGTCCAGGACCTCGAGGACCGCCTCGAGGGCAGCGAGGCCGCGCGGCGGAAGCTCGAGCAGCGCGTCGACGACCTGTTGGTGGCCGTCGCGGACCTCCAGGCCCGGGAGACGCGCGACGCCCTCGCCAGCGTCTGCCTCGGCCCCATGCGCCCGGCGACGCCGCCGCGCGCGCGGGCCCCGCGCGCCGCGCCCGCGACGCCGCCGCCGCCCGCGTCGCCGCCGCCGCCGCCGGGCCCGAGGTTCGCGGCGCCGCCCGCGGAGCTCCGCGGCTGGACCGCCGCGGCCCTCACCTACGTCCCGCCGCCGCCGCCGCCCGCGGCCGAGCGCGCCGTCGCACGCCTCTGGTAAGAGCAGCGAGCCGCGGTTTCTCGAGCGCGTTCGGTGTCGGTGCGGCGACGGCGCCGACTCGGACGCGCGGGCGGAGCTCGACCTCGGCGCGCTCGCGAGCCAGCGGCGCGAGCGGCTCGCCCGGACCCGCTCCGCCGGTCGTCCGGCAGCAACGCCTGCTTCTCCTCGCAGCCACGGCCCCGTGATAGCGTCTCGGGACTTCAACAAGACTTCAACCTGGAGGAGCCGCGTTCTCGAGCGACGAATCTATACAGGCAGGTACATATAGAACGGTACTATACATAGAACGGTACCCTGGGGATTAAGAGTGCCCGGCGATGCTCCGATAGTCCCAGAACCTGCTGATTTTGCGCACACGCCGAGGCCGAGACAGGATGCGGCCCCCGACAAAAGAACCGCGCAGTTTGGCGCCGAGCGTGTCGAGTACCAGAGCCTCTCCTAGAGGCTCTCAATATCCTAACTAGGATAGGTAGCGGGAGGCCCTAGAGCCACTGGGTGGCACTGATGCTCGACGCGATCGGTGCCGTTGGACGTGCTTCTATTGGCGGGGGGCGCACCTTGCCCCCGCCTCGGCGTGTGCACAAAATCAGCAGGTTTTGGGGCCATCGGATCATCGCCGGGCGCTACATCCTCGAAAGTACCGTTCTATATATCCTACGTAGGACTATCAGGAGTCCCGCAGGGCTCGGATCTCGACGCCATCATGTCCGTTGGACGCGCTTTTTTCAGGAAAGACGCATCTCTGACTCGTCCCGGGGTATGCAAAAGGGCACGGCCGCTAGATGGGTGCGTCGCGGCCGTTAAAAAATACCCCCGGATGGTACCGTTCTATATGTACCTGCCTGTATACTATTTTGCAGTGTGTCGCGGAGCGTCCGTCCGAGCAGCAACATAAAACTTTTAATGAGTGGTTAAAAGCGTGCGCAGCGCAAACCTCAATTAAACGAGTGGCCGATAGCTCGCGAAGGCCGTAGGCCGGCTTGTTGCCACTACTTCTGAGAGCTACGAGCGACGCCGCTGCTGCCGCCGCCGCCGCATCGAGCGAGCATCCCACCACCGCAGCTCACCGCAGCCGCAGCCATGGCGTTCGAGCGCAAGGGCGCCCTGGGCCAGACGGTGATCATGGGCGTCATCTTCCTGCTCGTGTTCATCGCCTACTACATGCTCCAGGGCTACGCGTCGATCCTCTTCGGCGCGGACCTCGCGAGCGACGCGCTCGTGACGCTCTACGCCGTCTTCACGGCGGGCTGCTTCTTCGCGCCGGGCGTCGTGAACCGGTTCGGCGGCAAGCGGTCGCTCGCCGGCGGCGTCGTCGGCTACGCGTGCTTCTCGGCCGCGGCGTTCGCGTACGCGGCGCTCGGCGAGCCGCGGTGGACGCGGGCGCTCGTCGTCGGCGGCGGCGCGCTCAACGGCGCGGGCGCCGCCGTGCTCTGGACGGCCCAGGGCCGCATCCTCCTCGACGCGGCGGCGCGCGACGCGCGCCACGACGTCGGCGAACTCTTCGCGGTCTTCTGGTGCCTCTTCAACACGTCGGCGGTGCTGGGCGGCTTCGTGACCTTCGGCTACTTCTCGACGCAGACGTCGAGCGGCAACGCGCCGCTCTACCTCGGCTTCACGGTGCTGATCGCGGCGGGCGGCGCGGCGTGCTTTTTGCTCGAGGACGACGCGGTCCCGGCGGCGCGGGCCGACGGCCCCATGATCGATCGCGCGGCGCCCGGCGCGCTCGCGGAGCTCGCCTCGACGATGCGCCTCTTCGGCACGAAGCGGGCCCTGTGCCTCGCGCTGCTCTTCTGGTACACGGGCTACAACCAGCCCTACCAGCTCAACGGCTTCGGCGACCGCTTCTTCCGGAAGCGCGTCGTCGGCCTGCAGCTGGCGTCGTTCTACTTCATGGAGGTCGTCGGCGGCTTCGTCGCCGGCCGGGCGCTCGACGACAAGAGCCGGTCCCACCGGCGGAGCGCCGTGGTCGTGCTCTGCCAGTTCGTCGCCGTCACGGCCGTCGGGTTCGGCGTCGCGGGCTACTTGGAGAAGACCGAGGGCCCGGACCCGGCCAAGGTCGGCTTCGAGGGGCTCGACTGGGCCCTCCCGACGCTGGCCTTCGCCGCCTGGGGGTTCTCCGACTCCCAGGTCCAGACCTACACCTACTGGCTCATCGGCGCGCTGTACCCGGACGACGCCGAGGACCGGTGCCGCATGGTCGGCTTCTTCAAGCTCACGCAGTCCCTGGGCTGGTGCGTCGGCTTCGCCTTCCTCCCGGCGAAGCGCTGCGCCTACTTCACGCAGCTCGTGCTCACGGGCGCCTGCTTCGTCGCGGGCACGGCGCTCGCGTGCCTCGAGCTGCCCCGCGACGCGAAGCTCGTCGCCGCGGACGCGCCCTTGCTCGCCAACGAGGCCCCGGGCAGCCTCCAGTGATGTTGGCCCCCTTTTTATTAAAACTCGCGTCGCTCTTTAGACGACCTCGGCCCGCGGCGCCATCTCCACGGAGGGCGGCGCGTCCTCCTCCCGCGCGGGCAGCCGCCGGTAGCCGCGGACGACGGAGCGCGACGCGAGCACGGCGATCAACGATTCGACGGCGACGTGGCCGACGACGACGTAGGTGCTCCGCCGCAGCGCGTGGTTCTGCCGGCTCCAGTCGCGCTCGTTCGACGCGCGCGCGCCGATGGCGGACGCGCAGTAGAGCGTGCCCAGCGCGGAGGCCGAGCTCAGATTCCCCGAGAGCGCCGCGACGAAGTCGACGAACACGCGAACCCGGCCGGGCGCGTCGGCGACGTGCGCGTAGCAGTTCGCGGCCGTCGCGCCGGCGCAGACGAGGACGAGCGCGAAGGCCGCGGTGCAGAGCGCGCGCGCGGCCTTGAGGCGCCGGCAGTCGTTCGCGCCGAGGTCCGACGGCGCGGCGCACGTCACGTCGACCGTCGACCGCGTCCGGGCGCGCGCCGTCGTCGCGACGGTCGTCGCGTTGCCGTCGCAGCCCAGGTCGCACCGACGGCAGGACCGGTCGCAGAGGCCGGGTGCCACCGCGCCGCAGGCGCCTTGGGATACGACGACGGCGCAGGAGTCGCGCAGCTCGTCCGCGCAGGCCGCGTCGCAGGTCACGTACGCCGTGCGCCGCGCCGTGACGACGACGCGGTCCTTGTAGAGGCCTTCGAGCGCCTTCACGGTCACCGTCGTGCCGGCGGGATAGCCCGCCGTCGCCGCGGCCTCCGGCGCGACGCGGCCGCGCCACATGACCCATTCGTCCCAGCGGATGGCATGCCGCAGCATCACGGCCGAGCCCAGCAGCAATAAAGCGCAGAGGGCGTGGCGCTTCGCGAGCGCGGCGTTGTCGCTCATGCGTGCGAGCACTCGACTGCTGCGCGACTCACCGATGAACGCTAGGTCTCGACGCTGCTGCCTTTCGCATCTCGAGGACGCATCCGTGGGCTGCCTCAACGTTTTTCTTGCCGTCGCATTGACGCGGGTTGCATGCGCGAGGCGATGTTCGCGGCCGACGGATGAGAGCGCTGCTCATGTTGCTCGCGCTACGGCGCGGCGCCGGCTTCGGAATTGCGCGCCGCCGGCTCCTGACCACCGTGCGCTACTCCGAGAACGTCGCGAAGCTGCCAGGGGGCCGCAGCGGCAAGCGCGGCGCCCGGCGCGCCCGCCACGAGCGGACGCTCGACTTCACGGCGCCGCGACCCGCGAAGACACCGGCGAAGAAGGAGTTCCGCGTGCCCGCGGCGCTGCGCGCGCTCGTCGCCGCGCACGGCCCGCCGGGCGGCGGCGCCGCGGACGCGGACGCGACGGCCGCCGCGGTCGCGGCGGCCGCCGCCGCCGGCGCGCTCGAGGCCGACGCCCTCGCGGCGGCCGTGCTCTCCCTCCTCCACCTGAAGCGCGCCGACCTCGCCGAGGCGGCGCTCGCCGGCGACGGCGCGCTGCTGCGCGCCGCGCCGCGCGAGCTGTCGTCCGTCGCCGCCGCGCTCTGCCGGTCCGGCCGCGTCGACGCCGCGGCGGCGCTCGGCGCGGCGCTCTTCGGCGAGGACGTCGCCGACGCCATCGTCGCGCGGCCGTCGCGGCTCTACGCGCCGCTCCACGGCGCCGCGCGGGGCGCGCGGGCGACCGCGGCCGTCGCCGAGGCCTGGTCCGCCGCGGAGGCGCGCGCCGCGGCCTCGGAGGCCGCGGAGCCGGCGTCGCCGCTGCCGTTCAACGGCGCCCTGCGCGCCGCGCGCGAGGCGCGGTCCCTCGCCGGCGTCTTCGAGGTCCTGGACGCGATGGCGGCCGCGGGCTGCGCCGGCGACGACGACACGTTCGCGGCCGTGGCCCACGCGGCCGCGCGGTCCGTGCAGTTCGTCACGGGCGCCGTGTCCATGGACACGCTCCCGAAAAGCGGGCGGCCCGAGGTCGCCCTCGTCGGCCGGAGCAACGTCGGCAAGTCGAGCCTCGTGAACATGATCACGAACCGCCGGTCCGCGGCGTTCACGTCTAAAAAACCGGGCAAGACGCAGCAGTTCAACTACTTCGACGTCAACGCGCCGGGCGACGACGCCAGGCGGCCCAGGTTTGCGTCGGCGAACGACGGCACCGCGCCCGCGCCGCGGCCCCGGAAGCGGCCGTGGGCGCCGCCGGGCCGCTTCTTCCTCGTGGACGTGCCGGGCAGCGGCTACGCGCTCGCGCCGGGCGCGGCCCGCGACGCCTGGGCGGCGCTCCTCGAGCGCTACCTCGCGGAGCGCGCGGACGTCGTCGTCGTGCTGCACCTCGTGGACGCGCGCGTCGGCGCGCAGCCGACGGACGCCGAGCTCTTCGCGCTGACGGCGCGGTGCGACGCGGCGCGGCGGGACCGCGGCCTGGAGCCCCTCCGGCCCGTGCTCGTCCTCACGAAGGCCGACAAGAAGGACTCGAAGGTGTCCCTGGACGCGCAGGCGCGGCTCCGCGCGGACCTCGCGGCCGCGACGTCGCCCGACCGCGCGGCGACGACGCCGATCGTCGTGACGTCGGCGGTGTCGAAGCGGGGCCGCGACGACCTCTGGCGCGTCCTCGGGCCGGCGGTGCTGCGGGACGACTAGAGGTGCCGCTCGAGGGGGCTACTAATGGACATCCTTACAACTGCCGCCCTACTCCGCCGGCAGCGGCGTCGCGTCGACGATCTTCGCGGCCTCCTCGCGCGTCGTCCAGACGGCGTCGTCGCCGACGTTGAGCTTGCCCATGGCCTCGAGGTCCGCGTCCTCGGCCCAGTAGTCGATGGGGTCGCCCATGAGCTTCTTCCAGCAGGGGTGGCTCGACTCCTTCTCGAGGTTGACGACGAGCGCGCGGTCGTCGCCGTCGCCGTCGAGCGTCCACGCGCACGCGGAGACCTCGACGTTGCCGCGGAGGCAGCCGAAGACGACGTGGGGCTGCTTCGCGTGGCCCTTGACGGCGCAGCTCAGGAAGTCGCGCTTGATGACGACCGTGACGTCGGCGGCGGTCGTCGCGGGCGGCACGGGGATCGTCACGGTGCACTCCGTCGAATTCGGCACCTGGTCGAACTTGGCGACCTCGTCCGCGTCGCCGGGGTCGGGCTTCTCGACCTCGAACGCCGCGTCCTCGACGGGCAGCTCGCGCGCCGTCTCCTCGATGGTCGCGACGGCCTTGGGAAACCGGTTCCGCAGCTTGGGCTTGCCGAGCGTTTCCAGCGCCTCGTCGAGCGACGCCCGGGCTTTGACGTAGGCGCCCATCTCGATGAAGGCCACGGCGCGGTCCACGGGGAGCGCGTGCTCCCGGCCCTGCTCGTCGACGAGCAGGGCGTCGCTCGCCGTCGTCAGCGCGGCCTTTAAAGCGCTGCGCGCCTTGTCGTCGAGGTCCGCGGCGGCCCGCGGCTCGCAGCCGCCGCCGCTCGCGTCCGACGACGTCTGCTGCTTCTTCGGCGGGCCCTGGCGGCGCGACGACGACGGCTTCTGGGCCTGCGCACTCATGGCTCGACGAACGGAGTGGACGAGGAGGTGCTCTGGCGGACTCGGAGGCGCTCCTGCTTGAATCATGCTTGCCCTGCAGCGCCCAGAGGGGGCCGACCACCAGGCATACACCAGCCACGGCATACACCAGCATAGCAGCCGCATAGCAGCCGCATAGCAGACGCATAGCGGGCGCATAGCGGGCGCATAGCGGGCGCATAGCAGGCGCATAGCAGGCGCATAGCAGGCGCATAGCAGGCGCATACCACCAGCATAGCAGGCGCATAAGACCAGCATAGCAGCCGCATACCACCAGCATAGCAGGCGCATAAGACCAGCATAGCAGCCCACCAGCATACCACCAGCATAGCAGCCGCATACCACCGGCATAGCAGACGCATACCACCGGCATAGCAGACGCATACCACCCGCATACCACCCGCATACCACCAGCATACCACCCGCATACCACCCGCATACCACCCGCATACCACCCGCATAACACCCGCATAAAGCCCGCATAAAGCCCGCATAGCGGGCGCATACTACCAGGCATACCGGCGGTCAACCCCCTCGGTGCGCGCCCGCCACCGGCGCCACCGCGCGCGCCGTCCACCGCCGTCCGCCCAGCTCACCGAATCACACACACACGTGCTCTACCTATGACGCGTTCCGGAACGGGTAGCCGAAGAGGTCCGCGTCGACGCCCCAGGCCGCGTCGACGATGGCCCGCGCGCGCGGCGTGTAGAGCGCACCGTAGGGCAGGTCGAGCGGGTCGTCGCCGATCCTCGACGGGTTCTCCTGGACCGACGCCAGCTTCGCCGCCGCCGCGGCGCAGCCCCGGGGCGCGCACCAGGCCGCGACGTCCGCCGCGAGGCGCTCGAAGCGGACGAGCGCGTCGACGAGGAACTCGCCCGTCGCGGGGTGCGTGAGGTAGACCGCGAGGGGCGTCGTGACCCAGAGGTTCGCGTAGGCGGCGTCGCCGTGGACCAGCGCGAGCCAGCGCTCGAAGGCCATGGCCGCGCGCGCCGTCGGGCTCGCCGGCGGCCGGATCTTCCTCTTCTTCGCGTCCGCGTGGAACCGGCGCGCCTTCGCGCAGTGCGCGGTCGGGTGGGGCAGCTTGCCGTAGAAGCCCGCGATGCAGAAGCGGAACCAGGAGAGCGCGCGGTCGTAGGGGTCGCGGATCACGGCCACGACGGACGCGCCGGCGAGGTCCGACCGGTCGTAGGCGAGCGCGTGGTTCTTCGGGAACCGCGGCTTGAAGGCCTTCTCCACGGACGTCCCGCCGGTCTTGGGCACGTGCACGAAGCGGAGCAGGCCCTTGGCGTAGGCGTCGGGCCGCGCCGCCGGCGGCGCGCGCGTCCGCCGGCCCGCGGCGCGGTCCGCGGCGGCGGCCGGCGCCGCGCAGCCGAGCGCCGGGTCGACGCCCTTGGGATGCTTCTCGCAGTAGCGCACGAGCGCCGGCGCCGCGTAGTGGCCGCCGAGCTCGCCGTAGGAGTGCGTCTTGCACCACGTCGCGAGCGACGCGCACCACGCGGCCCGGACGGCCGCCCGCCGCGCGGCGTCGAGCGCGGGCAGCGTCGACGTCGCGTTCGTGAGCGGCGCGGCGGCGAGCGGCGCGGCGGCGAGCGGCGAAAGGCTCGCGTTTGCGTGCGAGGCTCGAGCGGCGGCGAGCGGCGCGGCCGCGGCGCCGGCGGCGAGCGGCGCCTCGAGTCGCTGCTGATCCAGCGCTTGGGCGCCTCGCAGTTCCTGGGCGCGCTTCTCGCGCCGCAGCTTCTCCCGCTCGGACACCGGTTTGGCGTCGCAGAGAAAGACGAGCAAGAGCGCGCACAGTCTCATCATTGCATGGTGGCATCGGCCATCGGGGCAGCGTTTAAACTTAAACATCGACGTCAACGCTCGCCGAGGCAGCCCAGAATCTCAGCAATTCTGGGGACGCAAGATGGCATGCAAATACAACATGAAAGGCGAGTCCACGGCGGCGAAGCAAAAGGTCGAGGACGTCGACGATTCGGCGGCCGTGCCGACGATCCGCGGCGAGCTCAAAGCGGCCTTCGCCGCGGGCGACGTCTCGACGCGCGACTTCCGCATGCGGCAGCTCCTCAAGTTCCGCGACATGCTCGTCGCCGGCCGCGGGCCGCTGCTCGACGCGCTCCAGCAGGACCTGCACAAGTCGCACACGGAGGGCTGGATGATGGAGCTCAACCAGCTCGAGCACGAGGCCCAGGAGGCCATCGACTCGCTCGACGCGTGGATGCGGCCCGAGCGCGTCGGCACGAACGTGGTCAACGTGCCCGGCGCCTCCTACGTGCACTCGGATCCCCTCGGCGTCGTGCTCGTCATCGGCGGCGTCCTGCGACCGGAGAGATGTTCGAGAGCTTTTGACCCGGAAAACGACGGAACGTCGTCGCGTAGGTCATCGGCGCGTGGAACTACCCCGTGCTCCTGAGCCTCGCCCCGGTGGTCGGCGCCATCGCGGCGGGCAACGGCGTCGTGCTCAAGCTGCCGAGCGACAAGTACTCGGCCGCGACGTCGGCGGCCATCGCGGAGCTCGTGGGCGCCTGGCTCGACCCGCGGGGCGCGCGCGTCGTCCGCGGCGACCGCCGCGCGACGCAGGCCGTCCTGGACGCCCGCTGGGACCACATCTTCTTCACGGGCGGCAAGACCGTGGGCAGGATGGTCGCCAAGGCCGCGGCGGAGCACCTCTGCCCGACGTCGCTCGAGCTCGGCGGCAAGTCGCCGTGCGTCGTCGACAAGTCCTGCGACGTCGCCGTCGCCGCGCGCCGCATCTGCTGGGGCCTGTTTACGAACTGCGGCCAGACCTGCGTGCGGCCCGACTATCTGCTCGTCGACGAGACCGTCGCCGACGCGTTCCTGCGCGCGCTCCGGGCGGAGATCGCGGCGTTCTACGGCCCTGACGCGTCCCAATCGCCATACTACGGCCGCGTCGTCAACGACCGGGCCTTCGACCGCGTCGCGGCGCTCGTGGCCGACGCGCGCGAGTCCGGCGCGGCGGTGCACGGCGGCGCGACGGACAAGGCGACGCGGTACGTCGAGCCGACGCTCGTCGACTACGGGTCGGACGCGGCGGCCTTCGAGGCGTCGGCCCTCATGGCCGACGAGATCTTCGGGCCCGTCTGCCCGATCTTGCGGTACGCGTCCCTCGACGCGGACGCGCTCCCGATCGTGGCCAAGCGCGAGAAGCCCCTGTGCTTCTACCTCTTCGCCGGCGACGCCAAGGTCCGGGAGAAGCTCCAGTGGGCGACGACGTCGGGCGCCTTCGTCGTCAACGACGTCATCACGCACCTCGGCGGCTCGCGGCGTCCCGCGGCCGCGACGAATTTCGAGAGCTTTTGGCCGGGAACGCGAGTCGCACTTGGTAGGCAACTCGAGCCTGCCCTTCGGCGGCGTCGGCGAGAGCGGCATGGGCAACTACCACGGCCACTACAGCTTCAAGACCTTCTCGCACCAAAAGGCCGTGCTCCACAAGACGCCCTACCTCGACCTGCCGGCGCGCTACCCGCCCTACGATTCCACGAAGGAGACCATGTTGGCCGTGCTGCAGCACCCGCGCTACGGGCCGGACCGCCTCCTCTCGCTCGTGCCGCCCGCGGTGAAGAAGGCCCTCGGGGTCGCCGCCGCCGTCTACGTCGCCAAGAAGCTCGCCCCCGCGGTCCTCGCGACGGAGTCGGGCCTCCTCCTCGAGTACGTCAAGGGCCGCGTCGCCGCCCACCGGCGCTAGGGCGCCTTTGGGGCCGGCGCCCTCCTCCGACGCACGGCGTCCTAAGGGTCAACTCAGAAGTCAGTTACTCGGCGGCCTTCGCCCGCTTCCGGCAGAGCGGCGCGGGCTCGCGGGGCCCCTCGTCGGCCGTGCCCTCGACGTCCGAGTCGCTGCCCTCGAGCTCGCACAGGTCCACGAGCAGGTCCTCCATGAGCCGGTTCCGGATGTGGGGGAAGAGCGCCGTCGGCGGCAGCCAGGGCAGCGCCAGCAGCAGGTCGAGGACGTCCGCGGCCTCGTCGACGAGCGGGAAGACGTCGAGCCGGAGCGCGATGAGCGCGTCGCCGTCGCACGACGTCCGCACCTGGAGCTTCGTCCACGTCGGCGGCGCGCCCACGGCCGTCGCGTCGACGGCGAAGAGCTCGACCTCGCGGCCGTCGTCGCCCCGCCGCGCGACGCGCAGCGACGACGCGCAGCGCGCGCCGGCCGCGGCGCCGGCCGCGTCGCCGGCCGCCGTCGTCTCCCGGGCCTCCGGCCGGCTCGCGACGAGCGCGACGGCGCCGCCGCCCCGCGACCGCTTCGGCAGCGTCAGCACGCCGCCGCCGTCCCGCCGCGCGAAGGTCAGCCGCGCCGCGACGTCGCGCACCTGGTCCCGGGCCAGGTCGTCGAGCTCGCGCCCGGAGGCGCCGACGAGCCAGGCCTCGCAGGCCGCGCCGAAGAAGGGCTCGATGGGGTCGACTTTCTTTTTGGTGGTGGTGGGTTCTGGGGCCGACGCGTCGCTCGACGCGGCCTTTTCAGATGGCTCGAGTGGCTCCATCGACGCCATCGCCTGAGGCAATTTTGAGTTGCACAGATGTTGCACAGAAACAGCGGCCTGGCCGGCACTCGCGCAAACATGAGCCGCTTTTTCCTCCTCGCGGGGCTCGCGGCGACGGCCTCGGGTCTCTTTCGCGACCAGGCCGGCGAGCTCGACTGGCGCGTGGAGAACGTGGGCGCCGTGAGCCACGCCGTCTACCAGCAGCGGCGGTGCTACGCCCTGACGCGCGCCGGCGGCGGCCAGGCCCTCGTCGCGGCGCTCAACACGCGCACGGGCGGCGTCGAGTGGCGGCGGGCGCTGCCGCCGGGCGAGGCCGGCGACGGCGTCGTCGTCGCCGGAAACGCCGCCGTGACGCTCAGCGGCCGCGGGTCGCGGCTCCGCGCGTGGCGCCTCGGCGACGGCGCGCTGCTCTGGGACGCGGCCGCCGCGGGCGGCGCGTCCGGCGCGGCGCTCCTGGCGCTGAACAAGCACGGCGCCGCGGGCGTCGCCGGGAGCGACTGCGTCGTCGTCGCGCTCGGCGGCGACGCGGTCGCGGCGCTCGACTGCGGCGCCGGCCGGCCCGTCGCGGGCTTCCCGTGGTACGCGGAGCCCGAGGACGACGCGAAGCTCGCCGGCGCGCTGCGCTCCGGCGGCGCCAAGGGCGCCCCGCGCGTCCTCTCCGTCGTCGCCGCCGCGGACGGCGCGGGCCTCCTCGCCGCGGGGCTCGCGGGCGACAAGGCCTGGGTCGCGTACCTCGACCCCTTCGCCAAGGGCGGCGGCCACGCGGAGGCGTCCCAGGCCGCCGTCGTCGCGTCGGGCTGCCGCGACGTGGCCCTCGCGAGCCGCTCGGGCAAGGCGCCGCCGCTCCTGGCGTGCCTCTCCGGCGGCGACGACGTCAAAGCCTACGACGCGATCGCCGCGCTGAACAAGGGCGGCGCCGTGCCGCCGCTCGGGAGCGTCGCCGGCGCCTTGAACGGCGCGGCGGCGGACGCCCTCGCCGCCGAGCCCAACACGGGCAACCGCGTGCTGCGGCTCGCGGGCGGCGGCGCGGCCCGCCTCCTCGGCGGCCTCCGCGACGACGAGATGGCCTCGGGCGCGCGGACGCCCCTCGTCGCCCTCGGCGACGGGCCCTGCGGCGCGACTTGCGCCTTCGGCGCCTTCGCGACGCCCGTGGCCTTCGCCTCCGGCGGCGGCGACGGCGCCGGCCGCGCGTTCTACGCGTCCGCGGCGCCCGAGGCCGGCGGCGTCGCGACGCGCGTCTTCGAGGTCGGCGGCGCCGCCGTCGGCGACGCCGACGTCGCGCCGTTGGCCGTGGCCGCCCACGGCGCGCCGGCGGCCGTCTTCCCCCAGGTCTTCGACCGCGCGGAGGGCGCGGGTTTGGGGTACCGCGCGATGGTCGTCACCGCCGCGGACACGGTGGCCATGGTCGGCGCGGCCAAGCTGTCCTGGGCCCGCGACGAGGCCCTGGCGCACGTCACGTCCGCGGCCTTCGTCGACGCGCCGCCGCTCGAAAGCGCGGCGCCGTCCGAAGGAGCGATTCCGTCGTTCGCCGCGCGCCTCGCGTCGCAGCGGACCGCGGCCGCGGCCTTCCTCGGGTCCGCGTTCGACGCCCTCTTCTCCATCTTCAAGGACGCCGCGGCGCTCAAGGAGGCCAAGAAGCTCGCGAACGCGCGGCGCTACGGCTTCGACAAGCTCGCCGTGCTCGCGAACGCGGACGCGGGCAAAGTCTTCGCCGTGGGCATGCACACGGGCGCGACGGCCTGGTCCGCGCTCGTCCCCAAGAACGCCGCCGTCTCCGTCGTCAAGCGCGGCGACCGGCCCGAGCTCGGCGTCTTCGCGAGGGGCGTCGGCGTGTCGTACCTCGACGCGCACCGCGGCGCGCCGATCGGCGGCGCGCAGCCGCTGCCCGCCGCGGACGTGTTGATTCCGACGCGCGCGGTCGACCCCGCGAGCGGCCGCGACGCCTACCTCGCCGCGGCGCTCGAGGACGACGGCGCGGCGCTCGAGGCCGTGCCCGCGGCCGCGGGAGCCGCGATCGCGGCGTCGCTCGAGGCCGCGCCGCTCCACTTCCACGTCGTCGACGCGGCCCGGGGCGCGCTGCGCTGCTTCATGGTCGCCCCCGGCGGTTTACGCGCCGTCGAGCTCGGGGCCGTCGTCGTCGCGGGCGGGCCGGGCGACGCGATCCTCGACGTCGCGTACGGAGACGCCGGCCCCGTGTCGTCCAAGGCGCACGTTTTAGGCGACGACGCGCTGCTCCTCAAGTACCTGAACCCCCACCTCGCCGTCGTCCTGTCGTCGTCGCTGGGCGGCGCGCCGGCGCCGCTGCTCGACGCGAAGTTGCGGGTCGCGGACGTCGCGGCCGAGGACCAAGTCGAACCGCCGACGCTCTACGTGACCTTGGTCGACGTCGTCAAGGCGTCCGTGGCCCACCGCGTCGCCGTGCCCCACGGCGGCGCGCCGGCGAAGGCGATCCTCAACGAGAACTGGGTCATCTACTCCTACTGGAACCACAAGGCGAAGCGCGCGGAGCTCGGGTCCCTGAGCCTCCACGAGGGCATGATCGAGCGCTTCGGGCTGAGCCCCTTTAAGGTGCCCGAGCAGGAATCGACGGCTTCCGCCTGGAGCCTGCCGCCGCCCGTCGCGCTCCAGCGGACCTTCGCCCTCCCCAAGCCCGTGACGGCGCTCGGCGCGACGGCGACGTCGCGGGGCATCGCTAGCAAGCACGTGCTCCTCGGCGTCGAGCCGGGCCAGCTCTCCGCGCTCGACCGGCGCGCGCTCGACCCGCGCCGGCCCAACCTCGACGAGAACGACAAGAGCCGCGCGGCGCGGAAGCGCGTCGAGCGCGAGCTCGACGAGGGCCTCCGGCCCTACGCGCCCTTCGTGCCCCTCGCGCCGCGGTCCGTCGTCACCTACGACCAGCAGATCCTCAAGCTCAATGCCATCTACGCCACGGACGCCAAGCTCGAGTCCACGTCCCTCGTCCTCGCGACGGGCGTCGACGTCTTCGGCTGCCGCCACACGCCCAGCGGCGCCTTCGACCTCATCGCCGACGACTTCAACTACGCGCTCCTCCTCCTCCTCCTCCTCGGCCTCTCCGTCGGCGCGCTCCTCCTCCGCAAGGCCGCCCAGGCCAAGAACCTCGCCATCCAGTGGGTCTAGGCGCGCGCGCGTTCGGTTACGCGGTTCTAGCGCCACGCGCGACCGGCCGTCGCTGACATCGGGCGGTCGTCGGCAGCATCCGGGATCGTTCGGTCCGGACGGGACGGGGTCGGCGGGCGACGCGCGAGCCGCGCGGCCGACGGGTCGTCCGCCGAGGTTCCAGAGCATCATTGCCAGGACCAGCTGCGTGGCCCAAGAGCGCGACGACGACTAGTCGCCCGCACGCGCGGCCGCGCGGGCCGTCCCGAGCCGGTCGTTCGATCCCGTCGGAGCGACGCCCGCGCGACGCCGTCCGACCGGCACCGCTCGTCGCGAGGTTTTGGTCCAAACACGACCGCGTCGTCGCCGACCCGGACGCACAGCGCTGGAGCTCCGGGAGCCCGAAGACGCCGCGGTCCGCGCGCGGCCGACCCGCTCGGAGACCCGTTCTCGGAGCGGCGACCGCGGACCGATTTCGGCGCGGCGCGAGCTTGCGACGGCGCCAGTGACCGGGTCCAGGGGTTCGACGAGCGGATCAACGCGTCCGCGGGCGCCGAGGAGCCCGGCGAACCGCGGGGCCGCGCGCAGACCGCGCCGTCGCCGCGACGAGCCGAAAGCTGCCCGAGCGCAAGAGCGCGGTCGCCGACGCCGACCGCGGCGCGTCCGCGGCCGAGGACGGTCCCGGGGGGCTCCGCGGAGGCGGTGGCGGCGGCCGGGAGGGCGGCGTCGGCGCGCGGGGCGGCGGCGACGACGTGCCGCGCGGCGCCGGCGGCCGAAAGCTGCCCAAATGGCCAAGCTTGGGGAGGCTGCCCCGGAGCTGCCAACGGCGCGACGCAGGTTTACTGGATAGATTGAAGCGTTTGACTACTCCGCGACTGGATAATTGTGTGACAACCCGCAAATGGCACCGCTATTTTTGACCAACAGTGGCGAGTAGTCAGGGGTCCAAAGTATACTGTCGAAAAAATCGCGACTACTCCACATACCGTAATTGTCGTTTTGTCGGTGTGCCCCGCCTCGCGCATATCTTATGGAGGAGGCAGAAATTCGAATGAGTTTCAGCCTCCCCGCCGGTCGACAGTTCAGCAATGAACAGTCGAGTGGTTCAGTAGACTAACGAGAGTCTCTTGGGTGGGTCCACTGGTCGATATCAGTGGTCTCGCTTGGGGATGATCAGTGTCTTACTACGGAGTGGTCGACTGGTTCGAGTTTTACTACTCTCGGTCCCACGAAGTACCGCCAGCTCAGTTCGCTGAGTCTGCGCGACCTGATAGAAGACTCTTGCGTTGGTACGCCATGCGAAGAGTGGTCCTACTCGTAGGACCGGTTCTATTGTGCACAAGTCGCATGCGACCAGTGGTCGAGATAGGTTTTCTAGTAGAACCAGGTCTCGGTCGCTGAGCGTGCAACGAAGGCCCTACTCCGGGAGCCGACGAATACTGGTGACCGTTGCCTATTGACTGTTCGCCCTGCATCTCGCAGGCGGGCGTCGAGGTCGGTGTGCTTTGCTCGTTTGGTCCTCTCGGTGTCGGCGCTTGAAAGTGCGAGAAGGTTGATCCTTCGACACGATCGATTGGTTCGACGTTCCATTGGGGAAGCCCTTTGGAGTCTCGTCGGACCGGTCGTTCGACGGTTGCTTCGGCGACTGTCACTCTACGCTATTTGCAAAAAGCGCCAAGGCTCTCGGTTTTATACTGAGGTCGAGTCGCGACTGAAGGACACTTTGTGTTCCTTCGGTGGGAATAGCAATCTGGTTCTTTCGCGCTCCCCCCCAATCAACCAAACACAAAACCAATACAGCTCCAATTGGAGCGAACCAACCCCACCCAAAAACAAAATCCGTGTCTTTTTGTGCGGGTTTCACTTCTGCGTCTCCCGACGCAACACTCTACTCCAGAAGACCTTTTAAATCCAAGCCGCTTTCGTGCGGGTTTTATCGTCATAGTCATCGACTACTTGGACGACTACTACTACGACTCCGACTCACCACTTCTCTGAAAACGCCCAAGTCCAAATCGTGCGGGTTTCTCGGCGACCATTGCCAAGTACCCCCAAGTACCCTGCACCGGACACTTTTGACGCCCGAATACGCCCGTTTCCTCGCGCCGTAAAACGCCGCTCGCCGTCCGCCGCGCCTCCCCCCGCCCCCGCCGGGACTCCCTCTGCTCGACCGACGCACAAACCAGCAGTCGCCGCGCGCGTCCGCGAATACGGCCTTTTCTCCCGCCTTCGCGCGCGCGCCGCCGCGCCTCCTCGACGCCACTCGTCCCTCGCGCCGCCCTCGCCCCGCGACGACGCGCATCACCGCGCGCGTACGTCGGTCTTCGTAAAGCTTCCCGCCTTAAAGAATCGCGCACGACGAGTCCGCGACCGCCGGCGGCTCGTCGGCGGCCGGGTCGTCGTCGTCGCCGTCGTCGAGGTGGCAGACGCTCTCAACGTAGTGGAGGCCGTCCGGGTCCTCGAGGACCGCGCGGAGGACCGTCTCCCAGCGGCGCTGGGCGGCGCCCAGGCTCTCGCCCGCGCGCCTCGAGAGCGCGAGCGGCGCGACCTCGGCGCGGCCCGCGAGCTCCCGCGCGGCCTCGGGGAAGGCGGCCGACGCCTCGTAGGCCGCCCAGGCGTCCGCGCCGAGCGCCTCGGTGACGGCGGCCTGGAACTTGCAGGGGTGCGCCGTCGCGAGGATCGCCACGGGCCGCGGCTCGGCCGCGGGCCCGCCGTAGGGCGCGTAGCCGAGCTCGTCCGCGGCTGCGACGGCGACGGCCGTGTGGGGGTCGCAGACGTAGCCGTGGGCGTCGCGGAACGCGCGCAGCGCGGCGAGCATGGCGCCGTCGTCGACGCGCGCGGCGCGGTAGCCGCCGTCGCGCAGCGCGCCGCGCGTCGCGGGATCGACCCGGAAGTCGCCCGCGGCCATCGCGGCGCCCGTCTTCGACGCGTCGCCGCCCGTCGCGCCGTCGTTGATCGCGCGGCAGGAGATGTCGTTCGCGTTCGTGCCCGCGCAGATCGCGCCGAGGGGCAGGCCGCGCCGCTTCGCGAGCGTCGCCGCGGCGAGGTTGCCCATGGCGCCCGTCGGGACGACGACGTCGAGGACGAACGGCGCCGCGCCGGCGCCGAACGAGTCCCGGCACCTCAACCAGATCCAGACGTAGTGGACCATCTGGGCCAGGGGCCGGCCGACGTTGTAGGAGTTGGCGCCGCAGAGGCCGTGCGCGCTCGCGAACGCGTTGTCGAGGCCCATGCGCCGGATGGGCTCGTCCATATCGTCGCCGCCGCCCTCGAACGTCGCCACCCTCACGCTCGAGGACCCGTGCGTCGTCATCTGGCGCCGCTGGAGCGCCGAGACCTGGCCCTCGGGGAAGCAGCAGACGACGCGCAGCGACGCGTCGTCGACGTCCGCGGCGGCCCGCAGCGCCGCGGGGCCCGTGTCGCCCGTCGTCGCCACGAGGATCGTCCGCCGCTCGCCGCGCTTCGCCGCGAAGTAGGACAGAAAACGCACGAGCACCTGGAGGCCCAGGTCCTTGAAGCAGAACGTCGGCCCGTGGAAGAGCTCGGCCACCGCCACGCGCGGCGCCGTCGCCAGCGGCACGACGGGGATCTTTTCGGGCGCGAGGAAGTCGCCGTAGCACGCCGCGAGCAAGGGTTCTAGGTCCGCGTCGGGGATCTCGCCCGCGACGAAGGGCCGCAGCACCTCGACGGCCAGCGCCGGAAAGTCGAGATTCTTCCAGGCCTCGAGGTCGTCGGCGGTGATGGGCGGCAGCGTCTCCGGCACGTAGAGCCCGCCGTCGGCCGCATAGCCGCTGCCAATGGCCTCCTCGAAGCTCACGCTGGCGCTGGCGCCGCGCGACGAGACGTAGCGCATCTTCAAAGGACGCGCTCTCGTGGCTCTGCCTCGCGACCTGGGATCCGCACGACGCGCCGGACGACGCGCCGCGGCCGCGGGAGGACGACGCTGTGGATGCCGTGGCCAGATTCGGCGAAGCTTTGGCATCATCTTGAGGGCAAACAAAGCATCGTGGGGAGGCATGTGCGCCGTCTTGGCCGTGCTCTTGGCTGCAATCTGCACGACTGCAGATGCCTTCGCGCGCAGCAACCCGCGCAAAGCGACGACAGCTCTCGCCGCCAAACCCAAAGCGGTCATCTTTGATCTCGATGGCTGCCTCTGGTATCCGGAGATGTACATGATGAGCTGGCGCGGCGGCGGCGCTCCCTTCGTGCCCAAGGGCGACGCGATGGTGTCGCAGGCGGGCGAGGCCGTGACGCTCTTGGGCGACGTGCGCGCCGTCGTCGCCGAGCTGCGGGCGGACTGGCCGGACGCGGTCGTCGGCATCTCGAGCCGCACCGACGAGCCGGCGTGGGCGCGCGAGCTCCTGGAGAAGTTTCGCGTCGAGGACTTCGCGCTGGGCGACGCCTTCGACGCGCGCGCGGTGCAGATCAGCAAGGACTCGAAGGTGGCCCACTTCGAGCGCATCGCCGCGGCGACGTCGATCCCCTTCGAGGACATGCTCTTCTTCGACAACGAGCTGGGCAACCTGCGGGCCGTGACCATGCTCGGCGTGACGTGCGCCTATTGTCCCGAGGGCGTCGACGACGCGATCTGGCGCGAGGCGCTCGCGGCGTTCCCCGCGCCCGCGGGCGACGTCGTCGGCGCCGACGCCTACGGCCTCGGACGATGAGGCGGGGGTAAGAGCCGCGACGTTACTCAGAGCGACACGACGAGCTTCGCGGGCTGGAGCGTGATGGCGAAGAGGTCGCCGTCGTGGCGCGCCGTCGCCGTGGCGACGGCGGCGGCGGACCCCCAGGCGCGCGTGCCGCCGAAGAGCAGGAGCGTCGGGCCCGGCTCGTCGTCGAGGTCGGTCTGGCGGAGGTGGAGCAGCGCGGGCCGCATGCGCGGCGACGGCCGCGGCCCGTCGAGCGCGGGCTGCGACCAGCACCGCGACGGCACGTGGAGCACGTGCAAGTCCGCGAGGAACTTGTGGCCCGTGACGCCCCCGAAGACGACGAGGTGGGGCCCGACGGCCGCGGCGCTGTGGCCCGCGCGGCCGCTCGGCGGCGCGCCGCCGCAGGGGAGCCGCGCCCACGCGTGCCGGAGCCCGCCGTGCGACCGACTCAGCGACTCGAGCCGCAGCGTCCAGGCGTCGTTGAGGTAGTCGTTGCGCGTGAGCGTGGGCGTGTTCGCCGCGGGCACGCGGCCGAGGCCGCCGAAGAGCACGAGGGACCGCGCGCCGAGCCGCGTGAGCGTGTGGCCCGATCGCGCGGACGGCGCGGTCGCCGCCGCCGCGACGGCCTTCGCGCGCTTCTTCTTCTTCTTCTTCTTCGGCGCGCCCGTCGCCGGCCCGGCGACGAAGCGGTCCGCCGACGCGGCGCGGTCCCGCAGGCCGAAGACGAGCGCGAGCTGGCCGCGCTGCGTCGGCTCGTCGTCGTCGTCGTCGTCCGACGAGTCCGACTCGCCGAAGATCTCCTCCGTCGCCGTCCGCGGCCGCCGCTCCGGCGGTTCCTCCACGTCCTCCTTCTCCGGTGCCTCCTCCTCCGTGACGGCGCGGCGCATGGGCGCGACGTCGTCGGCCGTGAGCGTCGCCCAGGTCCTCGTCCGGAGGTCGAGCGCGTGCAGGCCGTCCAGATTCCGCCGGTGGTCCGGCGCGAAGCCCCCGTAGACGAGCAGGTGGGGCCGCCGCCCCACCGTCGCGTGGGCGACGGCGGCGTCGGACCGCGTCGAGGGGATGGTGCCCTTGAGGGGCTCGCGGCGCCACGCGTCGTCGGCGTCCAGCGTCCAGAGCGCGTCGAACGTCGCGGCCGCGCCGGCCGCCGCGCGCTGCGGCGGCGCCGCGACGGCGTGCCAGGGCACGGGCTCCGCCGCCCCGCCGTCGCCGAAGCGCGCGAAGGCCAGCACGACGCCGCCGACGACGCAGCAGTCCGAGCTCGCGACGCCCGCGGCCGGCGGCGGCGCGGCGGCGACCTCGCGGCGCCACGCGGCCGTCGCGGCCGACGGCGCGCAGACGTAGGCGTCGCCGTTGGGCGTGAAGGACCCGTGGTGGTAGCCGCCGACGACGACGAAGCGGCCGTCGGGCCGCGGCGCCGCGGCCGTCGCGCCGATGACCGGCGCGGACGCGTCCGACGCGCACTCGGGGCACCGCCAGAGTCCCTCGGGCGCCTCCTCCAAACCCAAACATCCGAGGTGGAAGACGAGGTTGCAGTAGTCGCAGCACAATAAATCGCCGCCCGTCGCGCAGCGCTCGCAGCGCCAGTTGTGCTCGTGCGTCCAGAGCTCCTCGGCCGCGTCGGCCTCGTCGTCCGCCGCGACGGACCGCAGGGGCGCGCAGGTCGCGACGAGCGCGCCACTGTGGGATAGCTCGACGCGGTCCTCGCCGAAGGCGTGGTGCACCGCGCGCGCCGACGCGCGCGAACACGCGCGCCAGACCGACGCGCGGCCGACGTCGAGGTAGCGGCAGACGTCCCAGAGCAGCTCCCAGGGCAGGTCGCTCAGCGCGCCGCCGCCGAGGGGGCCCGTGTGCTCGTCGGGCCGCCGCCGCCGCTTAACCACGGCGCGCGCGACGACGCCGGGGCCCTTGCTCTTCTTCGACGCCGGCTTCTTCCGCGCCGGCGCGCGGCCGGCCTTCTTGCGCCTCGCGCCGCCGCGGCCGCGCGCGGCCGCGGGCGCCGGCGCGGGCGCTGGTGGTGGTGGCGGCGCGGCCTCGGCGGCGCTCATGCGCATGGCCAAACGAAGGCTGGCCATCGGTGCGGGTCGCTGCCACTGGACGGCGGCGGAGGCGGCCGAGCTGTGCTTCGCGGCTTCGGCGGCTTCGGCCTCAAGTTGAAGATCAACATCGATCAAAGCAGCCCAACTTGATGATCTAGCAGCCCATCCAGACAGGGTGGCCAGCCGCTTCCTGTTGCACGCCACGGCGGCCGTCGACAGCCCGTCGCGCACGGCCCTCAGGCACTGCCGGCGGCAGATCCTCGTGCGCAACGCTCGCTGCGCGCTCGAGAGCTTGGAGGAGCTCCGCGAGGAGGTCGCGCGGGAGCGCGAGGCGCGGGCCGCGGCCCACCGCGACGCGCGCGACTCGCACCTGTCGGCGGCGGAGGGCCACGAGCGCGCGGCCCGCGCCGAGGAGGCGCTCGTGACGTCCATGCCCATGGACCTCGGCGCGCAGATCGCCACGAAGCGCCGGTCGCTCAAGTCGCCGACGTCGCAGCGGCGCGTCGTCGAGGTCGACTACGTCGCGTCGCCCGCGGCCGCGCCGTCGCCCGAGGAGCCGCGGAACCTCGCCGAGCGCCTCGCGGCCTTCGCCGCCGAGGAGTTCCCCGAGGCGCCGGCGCCGCGGAACCTGGCGGCGCGCTACGCCGAGGCCGAGGCCGCGGAGGCGGAATGGCGCGCGAAGCGGTGCCCGGAGACGCTCCAGCTCTACGCGGAGCACGCGAGCGGCCACACGCAGTGGATCCACGACGCCGAGGACGCCGACGAGCACGGCGAGGCCGTGACCTACGTCCACGCCTTCGCGCCGGCCCGCGGCAGCCTGCACGCGGACCGGCGGCGCAAGGTCGTCCGCCTGGGCCTCGACGCCGACGAGGCGCCCGAGTTCCACGGGGCCTTCTACGACGACTCGTCGAGCGGCGGCGAGGACGAGGAGCAGCGCGACGAGAGCGACCTGCGGGAGCGGCTCGAGCGCATCTACGGCGCCGGGCCCGCGTCGCCGCGGCCCGCCGCGGGCCGGCCGGACGCGCCGCGGGAGGAGGCCGTCGCGGCGGCGGACGCGCGCTGCGAGGCCGCCGTGGACCTCGCCGAGGCCGCCGAGGCGCGCGCCGAGGCCGCCGAGGCGCGCGCCGAGGCCGCCGAGGCGCGGCTCGAAGCGGAGGCCGCCGCGCGCGCGGCCGCCGAGAAGCGCGCCGCGCAGCGGGTCGCCGCCGTCGAGAAGCGCTGCGTCGACGCGGAGCGCGCCGCGGCGGCGCTCCGCGGCGACGCGGCCGCCGCCGAGGAGGCCCTCGCGGGCGTCGAGGTGGACCACGTGGCCCGGGTGCTCGCGCTCGAGCGGGACCTCGCGCGCGCGCGCGCGGACCTCAAGGCGTCCGAGGCGCGGCGCCGCGAGGCCGAGGCGGCCGCGGCCGCGGACGCGACGGCCGCGGCCGAGGCGTCCGCGGCGGCCGCGCGCGGCGACCGCGCCAAGGGCAAGGCCGCGGAGTCGCGGCTCCGGGCTTTGGAAACCAGCGCGACGACCCTGGCGGCGAGGATCGGCGAGCTCGAGTCCGAGCGCGACGCCGCCGCGGCGCGCGCCGACGCCCTCGAAGGCGCGCGGGCCGCGACGAAGGAGCTCGAGGCGGCCCTCGCGGCCGCGACGGCGCGCGCGGCCGCGGCCGAATCCGCGGGCGGCGCCGAGGCGACGCGCGCGCTCGAGGACCTCGCCAAAACCCGCGCGGCGCGCGATCTCGCCGTCCGGGACCGCGACGCGGCCCGGAGCGCGCACGAGGCGTTGAAGACGGACCACGCGGACCTGAAAAGGAGCCGCGCGGCGCTCGGCGGGGACCGCGAGGCGCTCCGCGCGTCGCTGGACTCGCTCTCCGACGCCGCGGCGGGCCTCCGCGACGAGGTCGCGGACCTGCGGGACGCCAACGAGGCCCTGGCGGCGGCGAACGCCGAGGCCCTCGCGCGCGACGCGGGCCTCCGCGCGGACCTCGCCGCCGTCGCCGACGAGCGCGACGCGCTCGCGCGCCAGGGCGAGGCGATGCTGGCGAAGCTGCGCGAGGCGCGGCGCGACCGCGACGACGCCGCGAACCGCCTCGAGCTCCTCGTCAAGGCCGCGGGCTCGCCCGTCGTCCGGTCGCCGTCGACGTCGCCGCGCGACGCGTCGCCGGCCGCGCGCCGCGGCGCCGCGCCGCGGGAGCCGTCGCCGGCGAAGCGGGAGCGCACCACGCCGCCGCCGCGCAAGGCGAGCCCGTCGCCGACGTCGGCGTCGCGGAAGCCGCCGGTCCCGCGGCAGCCCGCGGGCGGCGCGCGACCGCCGCCGCGGAGCGCGAGCCCGGCCGCGCCGCGGAAGCCGTCGCCGAAGCACGGCGGCGGCGGCGCGTCGCCCAAGAACGGCCACGGCGCCGCGCCGTCGCCCAAGAACGGCCACGGCGCGCCGCCGCCGCCCGCGCCGGCGAAGCGGCCCGCGCCGCCGCCGCCCGAGGCGTCGTCGCCCGAGGAGCTCCGCGCCGCGGCGACGCCCGCGAAGAATTGGCCGCCGCCGCCGCCGCCGAAGAGCTGGCCGCCCCCGGCCCCGCCGAAGTAGCTTACAGCTCGTCCCGGTCGTAGTAGGCGGCCGCGCGGCGCCACGACGCCGCGAGGTGCGCGACCTGGTCGCCGTCCGCGTCCTGCCCCGGCGGCGCGACGGCCCGCTTCAGCGCGCCGTGGCGCCGCCGGCGCCGCGCGGCGTCCGCCGGCCAGGCCTCGGGCGCTTCGAGGGCGACGAGGTCGCGCCAGGTGGCCAGCAGGCCCGGCGCCTCGCGGACGTCGGCGAGGACGAGGTCGCCCCGGTCCGCGAGCGTCCGCGCGAGCGTCGCGGCGGCCGCCGGCGCCGCGACGGCGACGATGGACGCGTCGCGCGGTTCGAGCACCCAGCCCCCCGGGTCCGGGGGCGCCGCGCCGGCGCCGCCGCCGCCCGCGGGCGCGAGCACGACGAGCCGCGCGCGCGCGGCGGCCGCGGCCGCCGCGACGTCGTCGACGCCGCAGCCGCCGGCCGTCCGCCAGGCGCCGCGCTCCTCGCGCACGGCCACGACGAGCAGCGCGTCTTCGACGTCGTCGAGCCCGTCGCAGGGCTCGTCGACGGCCCGTACGCGGCCGCCGCGCGGTCCGGCGACGGCGACGCCCGGCGGCGGCGCCAGAACGCTCACGCGCAGCGCGACGGCGCCGTCGGCGCCCCGGAGCGTCAGCACGGCGCCGTCGGCGCGCCGGCCCTTCGGGTCCGCGGCGACGCCCGACGCCCGGGGCCGGAACGCGCGGCGCACGAGGTCCGCGGCGCGCGCCGCGCGCGCGTCCGCCGACGAGTCCGCGGGCTCCGTGCGCGCCGCGTGGAGCTCCCGGGGCACCCAGGCGCCGTGGCGGTCGAGGACGCAGTGGGACGAGAACTGGAGCCGGATCGACGCCCTGCGCCGCGCGACGGCGCGCGCCCAGTCGCGCACCGCGGCCGCGTCCGCCGCGGGCACGGCGACGACGGGGATCGACGACGCCTCGCCGTGGCGCGCGAGGAAGGCCGCGTCGCCGTCCAGGCGGCGCGGCGCCGCCTCGTCGTCGAGGACCACGAGCCCCAGCGCGCCCGCGCTCGCGGCGACGTAGCTCTTCTCCGCGTAGGGGCAGCCGCCGCGGTCCGCGACGACGTAGGCGCCCGCGGCGCCCGCGAGCGCGCGCCCGTCGCAGGCGCGGCTCGCCTCGTCGTAGTAGAAGGGCCGCGCGCCGCACTCGGCCGGCGGCGCGCCGAAGGCCGCGAGCGCCGCGGCGGCGGCGAACGTCGACCCGGGCCCGCCGCGGCGCGCGCGCGCCTCGAGGCTCCCGAGCCAGGGCGTTGCTTCTAGTTCCGCCAGTGGCGCGGGAGGCTCCGTCGGCTCCGTCGGCCGCTCGTCCGGCGCGTCCGCCACCGCAACCGCCTTCTCCTCGACGGCGTCCGGCCTCGCCAAGAGTCGGAAGCTCAGCGTCCGCCGCTCCGCCGCGGGCGCCGCGAGCCGCGCCAGCGCCTCCTTGAGCCGCCGCGCGGCGCCGCGGCGCTTCGCTTCGCGCTCCGGCGGCGCGACGCGCGCCCCGTCGACGGCGACGAGCACGTCGCCGACGGCGACGCCCGCCTGCGCCAGCGCGTGGTGCTCGCCGGCGCGGCCGAAGCCGACGACGTCGAAGCCGCTGCCAAAGTCGACGCCCAGGGCGCCGGGCCGCACCGTGACGTGGAGCAGGTCGTCGCCGGCGGCCGACGCGAGCAGCAGCAGCGTCGCGAGGCGCATCATCGAAGGCAGCAGCCCATTAAGCCCACCATCGTACCGCGTTTGGACGACTTCCAACGGAACATTCGCGATCGTGCCGCAGGGTTGTGTTTTTTAGCCACCGGGGGGGGCTGTGGGTCCAGGCCGCCGGGGGGCCGCGGGACGGGGGGTGGGGGGGTCGCTGAGGGCCCATAAACCCCCCCCACAGCCCCGGGGTGGGGCTAAAAAACACAACCCAGAGCGATTTCTGCCACAGGACACAACTGGACGGCGTCGCCGCGCCCCAGCCGCCGCCGGCGCCGAGGCCGTCGACGAGGCCCGCGACGGTAAATGGACACGACGGCGTCGCCGCTCCGCGCGCCGATGGACAGCGCGCTGCGGGACTCGACCGGGGGTGCCGAGGAAGCATTACTATTGAACTCCGACGCGCCGGAGCGGCAGCGCGTCGCGAGCTTTTTGTCGTGCGTGTTCAACCTCACGAACACGATCGTGGGGAGCGGCATGCTCGGCCTGCCGGCGGCGTTCAGCAACGCCGGGTCGCTGCTCGGCTGCGCCTTCCTCGTGCTGTTCGCGTCGACTTCGGCCTTCGGGCTCCACCTCCTCGCGGCCGCCGCGCGCATCGTGAGCGCCAAGGCCGGCGGCGACGCGCCGTCGAGCTTCCGCTCCGTCGCGACGGCGGCCGCGCCGCGCTTCGCCGTCCTCATCGACGGGGCCGTGGCCGTGAAATGCTTCGGCGTGGCGACGTCCTACCTCATCGTCGTCGGCGACACGATGCCCGTCGTCATGGCCAAGCTCGGCGGCTTCGCGGCGAACCGGAGCCCGTGGATCGTCGGCGCGGCGCTCCTCGTGGCGCCGCTCTGCTACATGCCGCGCCTCGATGGTTTGAAGTTCGCGAGCGCGCTGAGCCTGGGGTTCGTCATGTTCCTCACGGTCATGATCGTCGAGTACTATTTGGAGGGCGGCGGCGGCGGCGACGTCGGCACGACGTCGCTCGCGGTCTTCGACCTCGACACGGCCAAGACCATGACCATCTTTATTTTTGGCTACACCTGCCACCAGAACATCTTCGCCGTCGTCAACGAGATCAAGCGCCCGACGCCCGCGCGGCTCGACGCGGTCGTGGCGACGTCGATCGGGACCGCGTGCGGCATCTACCTCTTGGTCGCGGTCTGCGGCTACATGACCTTTGGGGACAAGGTCCAGGGCGACATCCTCGACAACTACCCCGTGGAGCCGGCGATCACCGTCGCGCGGGTCTTCGTCGCGGCGCTCGTCGCGCTGTCTTTCCCGCTCCAGTGCCACCCGTCGCGCGCGTGCGTCATGAGCCTGCTGCAGGGCGCGCGGCCGCCGCCGCCGGACGACGCGTCGGACGCCGCGCTCGCCCTCCGCAAGCGCGCCGAGGACCGCCGGACCCGCGCGGAGCACGTCGCCGTCACGACGGTGTTTTTGGTCGGCGCGACGCTCATCGCGCTGTCCGTGGAGTCGCTCTCGACGATCCTGTCCGTCGTCGGCGCGACGGGCTCGACGGCCGTGTCCTACATCCTGCCGGGCGGCATCTACTACCGCCTCGCCGAGCCGTCCCCGAAGCGGACCCTCGCGCTCGGCCAGTTCCTCCTCGGCTGCTGCATCGTCCCCACGGCCCTGACGCTCATCTTCGTCTAGTCTCAGGGCTTAGATTTTGCAAACACACAGGTGCGATGTTAGGACGTCCGAGGGAGGCGGCGCGGGCGACGGCGGGCGCGAAAACGAGGGTATTCTACTCGGCGGTGTCGTACTCGATGAAGGCGACGAGGATGTAGCGGTCCCCGGCGGTGATGGGCATGCCCCGGTGCTTGAGGTCGCCCTCGTGGATGAGCGCGCCGCCCTGGCGGGGCTTCTCCGTGCGGTCGAGCGCCTCGAAGTAGGTGCCGCCGCCCGCGAAGGCGTCCTCGGCGCTGAGGAGGATGTTGAGGGAGAAGCGCGACGAGTCCGTGTGGAGGTCGAGCGAGTTCTGGGCGCCCGCGGAGTATTTCACCACGAAGGCCTCGCTCACGCCGAGGCGCCGCGGGTCGAGGCGCCAGATCGCCGCGACGGCCGGCAGCACCGTGTCCCGCAGCGCCGCGCGGTAGGTCGCGTCGCCGCGCGCCTCGATGCGCTCGAGGGCGACGTCCGTCGTCGCGTAGCGCCGGTGCTTCGTGCCGCCCGCGTTGCCCCGGTCCGGCGTCCGCGGCGCCCAGCCGCCGACGTCCGCCGCGCACGCGTCCGCCGTCGCGACGAGCGCGTCGCAGGCCTCCACGCTCAGGAGGCCGTCGAGGCGCACGGGGCAGCGGCCGCCCATGCCCCCGTCCTGGCACCAGCCGCAGCGGCAGCCCGGGTCGTGGAAGCCGAGCGGGCCGCCGCGCTCCGACGGCTCGCGCGCGGGGTAGCACGTCGTGCGCTGCGCCTGGACGAGCTGGAGGTGCGCGCTGCACCACGCATCCGTCGCGGGCCGCTGCACGCCCCAGCCCTGGCACGTGCCGTCGCCGTCGCCGGCGTCGCCGGCCTCGGCGCGCGCCTTGGCGGCGGCGGCCTTGCGCAGGCGGCTCCGCTCGAGCACTTCCCGCTTTTTTTGGGCGATCGCTTCGGACATGATGGCTATCGTTTCTTTGTGTGCACAGCGGTCGCGCGACACGGCGCGAGTCTACTTTGCTTGCTGCAGCAGTCGCACACGCGCGAGGCGACCGGCGCGCAGCTCGATGTGCTTTGGCTTGGCCACGCGGGCTCGCCGACCCGGCGGCGCCCGTCGTGTCGGCGCCGGGGGTCGGACGCGTGCGCCGCACGGTGCGCCAAACGACGCCTCAAACGGGGTGTGCTGCTACGATGGTTAGGTACGTACGGCGGGGGGAGCGTAGTAGCGGACGCGGCCCGGAGCGGGCGCGCGCTGGTTTTTCTGCGACACGGGCCGGCGGCGGCGGCCGCGGCGGGCCGCTTACTTCTTCTTCTTGTTGGCGGCGATGGTGTACTGGCGGTACTTCTCCGCGCGGTCCGGGAGCGCCGACTTGAAGCGGAAGCGGACGCCGAGGTCCGCGGCGAGCTTCACCGCCTTCTCCGGCGAGCGCGAGTGGTAGTAGTTCAGGAGTCGCCGCCGCTTGGAGACGAGCGTCAGGAGCCCGCGGCGGCTCGCGTGGTCTTTCGGGTTGTCGACGACGTGCTGCGTGATGTGCTTGATGCGCGCCGTGAAGAGCGCGATCTGGATCTCCGACGAGCCGCAGTCGTTGTCGTGGCGCGGGAACTTCGCCTTGTACTCGGCGCGCTCGCCGTCGCAGATCTCCCGCGGCGTCGCGCCGTAGGAGTCGATGTCGCCGACGTCGGCGCCGTCGAGGTCGAAGCCCGCCAAAAGGTCCTCGTCGCCGCTGCCCTCGACGTCCCACGCCTCGTCGTCGACGATCGCGTCCTCGAACTCGGCGCCGAGGCCCTCCGTGTCCTCGAGGACCGACGTGCCCGCCTCCGTCACGGAGGACTTCATCGAGACGGCGCGCGTCTTCGGGAGCGACACGGGGACCAGGGCGGCCCCCAGGCTACACGCCAGCGCGATAAGAACGGCCCGCATCCTGCGATCGGGGCGAAACGCGGTCAGAAACTTGTTGCGGCGGGGCGCTCTCTTCGGCGCGCGCGAGGAAGGGGTGGAGGGGATGGGGTGGGGCTGTGGGGCGCCCCCGCGCCGCCGCCGCCGGTCGTCGGCCGCCGCCGCGAACCCGCCGAAGCGCCGCGACGTCATCGCTCGGCACGGAAGTCCCCCGAACGCGGGTTCCGCGTCAAGCGCGACGTCGCGGCGTCACAGGCGGTCACGGCGGGCGGCGACGAGGGCCTCAGCGGCGCGTTGCGGCGGTCATTCGGTGTCCTCACCTACTGATGCACTCGTCGCCGCCTCAGAGACGACGCTGAGCACGCTAACTTCAATTCTGCCTCGCCGGGGGTCCGAACCCGGTCGGCCTCGGCCGCAGCGTCCTCCCCGGACTAGCCCTCGCGAGAGGCCTCGGCCCGTGCGTCGTACGCGGCGCGGCCGTGGCCGCCAACAGCTCGACCCGGGCGCCCAGACGCCGCGACTCCCAAGCCGAACGAGCTTAACACACGCCCTCAGTGCTCGCAGAGGCTGAAGGGGCGCTCGAAGACCTCCCCGTGTTCTGCCGTGATGAAGGTGCGCTCCTCCATGAGCTTGAGCCGGTGCGCGAGCGCGGCCTCGTGCGACATGGGCCCTCCGTCCGCGTCCTCGAGCATGCCCAGGACGAGGTCGCGCGCGATGTCGGGGAGGCCGCGCCAAAAGCGCGAGTGCACCTCGAGCTCGAGGTCGAGCCACGCGCGCTGCTGCGGAGCGACCGTCGCCGTCGACCGCGGCACGTCCCGCGTCGGGTCCACGAGGAAGAAGACGACGATGGTCCGGCGGCCGGGGCGCGACCGGTCGTCGAGCGAGAAGGGCCGCACGGCGTGCTGCAGGACGTTCGGGAAGCAGACCGTGCGCCCCGCGCGCGCGCGGAGCGCGCCGCGCGGCTGGACGAGCGGGTCTTCGTCGTCCATGTCGAAGACCGCGCGGACGCCCGCGTGGTCCTCCTGCTCGTACTCCGGCTCGCGGACGGCCTCGCGGAACGCGAGGCGCGACTCCGAGATGTTCTCGCACTCCAGGTAGTGGATCGCGGTCGCGACGATGCGCTCGTTGCGCGCGCCCTCGACGTGCCACGCGCCGCCGGCGTACTCCGGGCGCTCGGGCGTCAGCTCGATCGTCTGGAGCTTGACGATGACCTGGAGCCGCCGCCCCGCGAGCGCGTCCGACGCCCACGGGCCCGGGTCGAACGGCGGCGGCGCGACGAAGGGCCCGGTCACGCGCGGCACGCGGTCCGGCGCGGGCCGGCGCGCGTCCATATAAGCGCCGTAGCGCTCGTCGAACGCGGCGTCGTCCTCGCCGTCGAGCTGCTCCGGCTCCTCCTCGGCGTACAGGTGTTCCATGTCCGGCTCGAAGTAGCGCTGGCGTTTTTTTCCCGCATCTCGGCGCTCAGCTTGCGCAGTCGCAGCTCCACTGCGCACGACGAGCGCGTCGGCGCCGCGCGCGCGGAGCGCGGCGAGCACGGACTCGAACAGCGGCACGCAGCGCGAGAACAGGCGCTCGAGCGCGCGATAGAGCGGCGCGTGCCGCCGCGGGTGCAGGTTGTTCACGTATGATTTGAAGGACGCGGTGCCGTCGGCCGCGACGTCGAGCTCCGCGGGCAGCCATTGGTAGCGCCGCGACGAAAAGCTCGTGGGGTCGCCGTGCACGATTGGATTCGGCTGCCGGCGGCGCGCGAAGAGGTCGTCGCCGAGCAGGTCGACGTGGTCGCCTTGACGCGTGCCAGCGCCGATGAGCTTCGAAAAAGAATCGAGTTTGTCGAACGAAATGCGGAGGCGGCGGAAGACGGGCGTGACGCCGTGGACGTAGCAGTAGAGGCTCGGGTGGATGTGGTTCACGACCTGGCCGTCGCTGCCGGGGTGGACGTCGCGCGCGCCGTGCGCGGGCTCGCGCCGGAGCGCCGCGACGCCGTCGAGGAGCGCGGCCTCGAGGTCGCCGTCGACCGCGGACTCCGTCTCGAAGGCGCCGGCGACGGGCGACGGCCGCGCGAGCGGCGCCGCGGCCGCGCGCGCCGCGAGCCAGCGCGCCTCGCCGAGCGCCCAGTCGAACTCGAGCGGCGCGTAGGCCGCCGCCTCCGCGCGCCAGCGGCCGACGATGGCCTCGTCGCCGACTTTCACCCACCACTCGGGCTTCGCGCGCATCTCGGCGCTCAGCGCGCGCAGTCGCAGCTCCAGCGCGCACTGCGGCGGCGCGCCGTCTCCGTAGGCCGCGCCGATGGAAAAAGGCGTCGGGTACGGGCTCGGCGGGGGCCCAACGCTGCCCGGCCCATCATATATTTCATCCTCTTCGTCGTCCATGTCATCATCGTCATCGTCATCGTCGTCGTCGTCGTCTTCTTGCTCGCCTTCTTGCACATCGTCTTCTTCTTCCTCCTCCTCCTCCTCCTCCTCCTCCTCCTCTTCGCGGTTAAGCTCCTCGTCGGTGTCCATCGATGCACGCGAGGATTATTCTTGCGGACTGGCGCGCGCGGGCCTCAGATGACAAACTTGAAGACGCCTTTGAAGTACAACTTGAAGTTCAGCAAGGAGACACGTCGACGACACACGTTACGATACCTCAGCCCCACCCCGCAACCACCGCGCGCATTCCGCGCCGAGCGCCGCCTCCGCCGCGGCCTCGTACCGGGCGACCTGCGCGTCGGAGAACGCCGCGCGCCCGCCGCCGTCCGCGCCGCCCCGGAGGAACGCGCCCGGCTCGAGCGTGTCGAGCTCGAACCAGCGCTCCCGCCGCTTCATGTAGGCGAAGGCGCTGTGCGCGACCGCGGCGTCCAGGACCGCGTCGTCCGCGGCGATGGCGCAGTGCGCGGCGACGCGCGCGGCCTCGGCGCGCGCGTCGCGCTTCAGGTCCGAGAAGTGGACGAGGCGCACGCGTCCCCGCGCGTCCCAGTAGCTCTTCACCGTCGCCGCCCAGGTCGCGACGCCCTCGCGCGGCGCGCCGTAGCCGCGAAAGTCGTCGAGCCAGAGGTCGAGGAACCGAGAGGCGCTGTCCAGCGGCGCCTCGGGCAGTCCCGCCGCCGCCGCCGCCGCCGCGCGGTAGGCGGGCTTCGTCGCGCGCCAGTGGTTGTAGAGCGACAGCACGCCGTCGAGGCCGTCGCGCGCGACGAAGACGCAGGGGCAGCCGAGACCCTCGGAGAACGGCTCGTGCGTCTTCAGGACGACGCGGCCGTCCGGCACGCGCGGGCGCAAGGCGCGGATCAAAGCAGATTGGCGGTCGAGGGCCGCCGCCTCGGCCTCGCCGTCGCCCAAGAGCTTGAAGAGGTCGAGCTCGTCTACGCCCGTTCGCGTCGCGAGCCACGCGCGCGCGAACTCCGGGCTGCGCGCGGCGAGCACCGCCGGCGACGACACGCGGAACGACACCCAGGGGCTCAGCTCGTGGAGGCTGCCGAAGTCGTTCAGGGCAGCCTCGGAGCCGCCGGCCAGCAGCTGGGTGATGATTTGCTGCATCCAGGTCGTGCCGCTCTTGCCGGCCGTCGCGACGACGACGTCGCCGCTGTTCGGCGTCCAGCCGAGGAGGGACTCGTCGGACCAGGCCGACATGGACGAATTACGGCGCGGAGGCCACCATCGGTGCGAAGCAGCCCTAAGTTGCACCCGAAGGTGCTGCCAACAACGATGGAGGAGCACGATGACGAGTCCTTCGTGGTGAGCGGGGACGACTCGGACGACTCGGACGATGGCAGCGTCGCGTGCGTGGATGTTTGGGCCGACGCGGATGGCAGCGTCGCGCGCGAGGCCTGGAGCTCCGCCGCGATCGGGCACGAGCCCTGGGCTGCCTGGGGCTTCGACGTCGACGCCGGCCGCTGGGCTCCCGCGGCGGCGTCGCCGGAAAACACACAGCGGAGCTCGACATCGCGGCGAAGCCCGCAAACAGCGCGGCGACGAAGCTCGAGGTCGCCGCCGAGCCGGTCGCCGCGGCGAACGACGCGGCCGGGCTCGGCGTCGCCCCGGAGCTGCTCGCCAGCGTCGCCACGTCAAAGCTGCTCGCCGCAGCGAGCGACGCGGCGGGGCTCGGAGGCGGGCCTCGTCCGCCGCCGCGTCGCGGACATCGAGACGCAAGTCGCGGAAGCCAGCGCCCCGGTCCTGCGATCGCCGCCGAAGCAAAGCGGCGGCGCCGACGCCGCGGCCGGCGCCCCGATCCTTCCATCACCGCCGAAATCATCAACGCCAAACGACGCCGCGCCCCCGATCCTTCCATCACCGCCGAAATCATTAACGCCAAACGACGCCGCGGCCCCGATCCTTCCATCGCCGCCGAAATCACACGCGCCGGAAGCGACGCCGCGCCAGCGCTACCGGGCCGCCGCCGCCGAAGCCGCCGCCGCCGCCGCGACGAAGCGCGCGGACTCGTACCTCTCGAACGATGCGGCCCCGGCGCGCGCGCACCGCGACCGCCAGCGCCGCTTCCGCGAGCTCCGCAAGGAGTGCGCGTCGCTCCAGCTCTCCTGCGCGCTGGCGCTCTCGGCGGCGCCGCCGGATCTCGAGGCGGACGCGGAGACCATGCTCGCGGACGGCTTCACCGTCGCCGAGGTCGTCGACGTCCTCGACGGCCGGAGCCCGGACGTCGGCAGAGCCCTCAAGGCCGCGGGCGTCGCCGAGGGGGAGCCGGAGCGCGACGACGACGACGACGACGACGCGTCGCGGGCCCGGCGCGCGGCGACGCTCGCCCGGGGCCTCGTCGCGCTCTTCTTTCGAGCTCGGCCGGCGCACGACGCCCTGCGGCGCTGCGCCGACGCCGCGGAGCCGGGGGGGCTCGACGCGGCGCGCCGCGCCGCGGCCGCGGCGGAAGCTTTGAGCCGCCTGCGGCTCCCGCGCGCGATCGTCGACCACGTCTGCGCCTACTGCGCGCCGTCGCCCTTCGCGTCCTTCGCGCGGCGGGGCCGCTTCGAGGCGCGGGTCCTCGCGCCGCTCCTCTGCCCGGACGTCGACGCCGTCTGCGCGCAGCTCAAGGCCCGGGGGCTCTTCGGCGCCGTCGTCGCCGTCGCGCACGGCGCGGACGCCGCCGCGTTCGCGCCGCCGCCGCCGCCGGAGGCGCCGAAGCGGCGGGCCAAGCGGCGCCCGCCGCCGTCGGTCGCGCGTTGGAACGTGTCGACGCTCGTCCGCCGCGACCCGACGGGCCTCGCGGCGCCCTGCCTGCGCGCGACGGCCCGGCCCGGGCGCTGCCTCTGCATCCAATGCTGGAAGAGGGGGTAAGGGGCCTTAGGGAGCGGGAGTCGCGGCTCTCGAGAGCGCGTCTGCGCTAGATCGGGGTGAAGGACGTGAAGCCGTGGCCGTTGGTGTTGCCCTTCTTGGGCTTCTTGAAGAACCCGGGCGCCTTCTTCTTCGTCTTCCGCGCGCTGCCCCGGAGGTTCCCGGCCTTCTTGGGCGTCTTCGCGGCGCGGAGGCGCCGCGTGTGGTCGTGCGCCTTGGGCGGGTCCTTGGCGCGCGCGCTCGGCAGCTGCACGCGGGCGCGGCGCGCGGACTTGATGCGCGGCGCGGGCCGCGTCACGGCTTCGTAGGTGTTGAGCACCTGCTCGATCTGCCGGAGCGCCTCCCGCTCCTTGCCGAAGTGGCCCCGGTTGGCTTGATCGACCAACGGGTTGTGGAAGGCTGCCAGCGCGGAGTGGAGTGCGGCGACCAGCAGCAGGGCACGCATGTGCTGCGAACCAAAAATCGGGATGGGTTGCGGGGCCTCCTCGACGGGCGTCGAGGGCGCGGCGGATTGCCGCGTTGCGGGGTCTCGAACGGCGTCGAGTTGCGGGGCGCAGCGCGGGAGCTGCTGCGGGCACGGATGCACCGGACCGCTGCTTGTCGTGCGATTTCCGCGTCATGCTCAGGAAAGCCGGGCAGCCCGAAGAATGGCGTTGAGAACTGCAACTTCGGCTCCCAACGGCACGCGGCGCCGTCGAACTCGGAGTCGTCGGTCGACGCGTCGTCGTCGACCCACGAATGAGCAGGTTCGTCGGAAGATTAGCTCGCGCGGGGCGCGCCGCGCCCCCCCGCAAGCGGCGGCGGACTCTAGCGGAACCAGCCGCGTTTTTTCGCCGACGTGTCCTCGCCGAGCTGCTCGTTGCCGAGGATGTTGATGAGGAGCGAGTCGGCGTTGAGGTAGACCTTGCCCTGGCTGCGGGCCACCGTGCCCGCGATCTCCTTGGCCGTGTCGATCTTGCGGAGCTTGACGAAGCCCGGGTTGTTCTGGATGGCCTTGCCGATGAGGCGCGCGGACTGGGCCTCGCCCTCGGCCTTGACGATGATGGACTTCTTCTCCTGGATGGCCTTCTCGACGATGTAGCGCGCGCGCTCGCTGTCCTGCTGCGCGACCTGCTTGGCCTCGACGGCCGCGGTGTACTCGTGGCTGAAGGAGAGGTGCGTGATCGACACGTCGTCGAGGATGATGCGGAAGTCGGCGGCGCGCACGACGAGGCGGTGGCGGATCTCGTTCGACACCTGCTCGCGCTTCGTGAGGAGCTCGGAAGCGTTGTAGCACGCGACGACGGCCTTGGTGACCTCGTTGACGATCGACGGCAGGACGCGGTCGTCGTAGTCGTGGCCCAGGCGCTTGTAGATCCAGGCGAGCTCGCTCGTGTTGGGCTTGCTCAGGACGCGCAGCGTGATGTTCACCATCTGCAGGTCCTTGGACCCCGTCAGCGACTGCACGTTCCGGGGCCGCGTCCGCACGTCGAACGGCACGGGGTACTCGATGAGGGGCACGCGGGGGTGCATGCCCTCGGCGTAGACGGCGTCCTTGACGCCGGAGATGCGGCTCCAGAGCACGGCGCGCTGGCCGCCCTGCACCGTGAAGACGCTGTTGTAGCCGAGGAACCCGACGGCGGAGATGCCCGCGACGGCGGACACGAGGCCCGTCGGCGGGCCCCCCTGGGGCATCTGGGACCCGAGCTCGTTGAGCTTGTCGCGCACCGTCGCGAACGACCGCCGCGACGCGAACGACTTCAGCCCCGCGCGCATCATGGTACCGCCGGCGGTCGTTCGCCGAGCTGCACCTGACCACCTCGGCGGCGATGCGCAATCTGTTGCTCTCGCGCGAGGTCGGAGATGCCGCTGCGGACGCCGCGGCGACCGGCGCCGCGCCAGACGCGGTCCACAGAGACACATCTTATACACAACACGTTGTGGGTGGGGGTCTTCGAATTGGGTCAGGGCGCGGCGTCGTCCGCGCGCTTCCGGCGGGCGGCGTCCGAGCTCGCGAAGTCCGCGTCGTCGCTCTTCTTCCGACTCGCGAAGTCGAGCCAGGAGAAGCGCCGCGGCGCCTCGTCGTCGCCCTTCGCGCCGAGCGCGGCGACGAAGGGCAGCGCGAGAACGGGCAGGACGCCGGCCCGCCGCTCGCCCGAGCCGTCGAGCGTCGAGTGGTTGGAGCCGTCGAGCGACTCGTCGTCGACGTCGCCGGCGTAGTCGAACCACTGGCGCGTGTCGAAGCGGCCCAGGTTCGGGTCCTCGGCGAACTTGTACCAGCGGTAGCTCGGCCGGAACCCGAAGGCCGCGAGCTCGAACTTGCGTTCGACCTCGCGCTTCACCTTGATCAGCGCCGCGAGGATGAGGATGCCGACGAGCGAGAGCGACGCGCCGGCCGCGAGCGTCGTCGTCACGGCCGACGCGGCCGAGGGCCCGATGGCGACGTCGTCGCCCGTGCCCTCGCTGAGGTACTGGGGCACCGACGGGGCCGCCGTCGGGAGGCCGGTCGGCGCGGCCGTCGACGGAGCCGCCGTCGTCGGCGCCGCGGACGGGGCGGCCGTCGTCGGCTCCGCGGACGGAGTGGCCGTCGTCGGCTGGGGCGAGATCGTCGGCGCCAGCGTGGGCAGCGGCACGGGCACGGCCGTCGGCCCGCCGGGCGACACGGTCGGCGCGGGCGACGGCGCGGGCGTCGGCGCGGGCGACGGCCGCGGGAACGGCGCCGCGGACGGCGCCGCGGTCGACGGCTCCGCCGACGGGGCCGCCGTCGTCGGCGGCGCCGAGGGGACGGCCGTCGACGGCGGCGCCGTCGACGGCTCGGGCGTCGGTCGCGGCGTCGGCGCCGACGACGGCCGCGGCGTCGGCCGCGGCGTCGGCGCGAACACGGGCGCGGCCGACGGATTCCCGGGCGTCGCCGTCGGCGCGGGCGACGGTCGAGGCGTCGGGCGGGGCGTCGGCGCCGGGGACGGCGCCGGCGTCGGCGGCGGCGTCGTCGGCGTCGGCGTCGGCCGTCTCGTCGGGGCCGACGTCGTCGGCGCGCTCGTCGGGCGCGGCGCGGGCGCGGGGGACGGGCGTCCCGGAGGAACGATCGGCGATCGAGTCGGCCTGGGCACGGGAGCGGCCGATGGGTTTCCCGGCTCTGCCGTCGGGAACGGCGTCGGGCGCGGCGCGGGCGCGGCGGACGGGTTCCCTGGCTCTGCCGTCGGGGACGGCGTCGGGCGCGGCGCGGGCGCGGCGGACGGGTTTCCCGGCTCCGCCGTCGGGAACGGCGTCGGCCTCGGCGCGGGCGCGGCGGACGGGTTTCCCGGCTCCGCCGTCGGGAACGGCGTCGGCCTCGGCGCGGGCGCGGCGGACGGGTTTCCTGGCTCCGCCGTCGGGAACGGCGTCGGCCTCGGCACGGGCACGGCCGACGGGTTTCCTGGCTCCGCCGTCGGGGACGGCGTCGGTCTCGGCGCAGGAGCGGCGGACGGGTTACCCGGCTCTGCCGTCGGGAACGGCGTCGGCCTCGGCGCTGGAGCGGCGGACGGATTTCCCGGCTCTGCCGTCGGGAACGGCGTCGGCCTCGGCGCTGGAGCGGCCGATGGGTTTCCCGGCTCTGCCGTCGGGAACGGCGTCGGCCTCGGCGCGGGCGCGGCGGACGGGCTTCCCGGCTCTGCCGTCGCGAGCGGCGTCGGGCGTGGCACGGGCGCAGCAGACGGGCTTCCCGGCTCGACGGTAGGCGGCAGCGTCGGTTTTGGCCGCGGAGCTGCCGTTGGACTGCCGTCTTCCGGCGTCGGAGAAGTTGTCGGCCGCGGCATTGGCGCCGCCGATGGGTTCCCGTCCTCAACGGTAGGCGCCGGCGTCGGCCGCGGCATTGGCGCCGCCGATGGGTTCCCGTCCTCAACGGTAGGCGCCGGCGTCGGCCGTGGCCGCGGAGCTGCAGTCGGACTGCCGTCCTCAACAGTCGGAGCAAGCGTCGGCGGCGGCACAGGCGCGACCGAGGGGTTCCCATCCTCGACAGTAGGCGCAGGCGTCGGCCGAGGCCGCGGAGCCGCCGTAGGACTACCGTCCTCGGGAGTAGGCGAAGGCGTCGGGTCCCCGAGTCCCTCTCCATCCCGATCATCTTCTGTCGTCGGCGCGATCGTCGGTGCCGATATCACAGTCGTACTTCGCTCCCCTTCGGTCGTCGGCGACAGCGTCGGCCGAGGCTGCGGAGCCGCCGTGGGATTTCCATCCTCTACAGTAGGCGCTGGCGTCGTCCCCGGCACAGGCGCCGCAGATGGGTTCCCATCTTCGACTGTAGGCGCCGTCGTCGGCCTCGGCCGCGGGGCTGCCGTAGGACTGCCGTCCTCCGGAGTCGGAGCAAGCGTCGGCGGCGGCACAGGCGCGGCCGAGGGGTTCCCATCCTCAACAGTAGGCGCCGGCGTCGGCCTTGGCCGCGGGGCTGCCGTGGGGCTCCCGTCCTCGGGAGTAGGCGACGGCGTCGGGTCCCCCAGTCCCGACCCGTTCCGCTCGTCTTCCGTCGTCGGCGCGAGCGTCGGTGCAGATATCACCGTCGCGCTCCGCTCGTCTTCGGTCGTCGGCGAGAGCGTGGGCGGCGCGAAGCTTCCGACGGGGGTCGGGCTGCCGCTAAGCGCCGCGACTGGCGCCGCCGTCGGATTTCCGGGGTCATCGACGCTGCAGCCCGCATCGGCCTCGCAGGAGCAGGCGCAGATGGAGCAAGCGAAGTCGTCGGCGCAGAACTGCTCGTTGTCCCCGCCGGGCCCGTAGCTCTCGCAAGCCCCGTAGGCGGATTCCCAGTCCGGGTCGTCTACACAGGTCGTCGGTGTCGCCGTGGGCGCCGCGGCGTCGAACGGAGTCGGCGGGTCCGTCGGTATGCGCGTCGGCGCCAGCGTCGCCTCGAACGAGGGCTCCGGACTCGCTGGGCTGGTCGGATTGGGCGGCGCGACCGTGGGCTGGGGCGCCGGCTGAACCGTCGGCTCAGCCGTCGGAGCTGGGGGCTCGACCGTCGGCTGGGGCGCCGGCTCGACCGTCGGCTCGACCGTGGGCTGCGGCGCCGGCTCGACTGTAGGCTCGCCCGTGGGCCGCGGAACTGGCTCGAGCGTGGGCTCGCCCGGCTCGACCGTGGGCTCACGACTCGGAGCGGGCGTCGGCGCGGGCGTCGGCTCGCGACTTGGGTCGGGCGTCGGCGCGGGCGTCGGTTCGCGACTGGGGTCGGGCGTCGGCGCTGGCGTGGGCTCGCGACTGGGGTCGGGTGTCGGCGCCGGCGTGGGCTTGCGGCTCGGATCAGGCGTCGGCGCCGGCGTGGGCTCGCGGCTTGGATCGGGCGTCGGCGCGGGCGTAGGTTCGCGGCTTGGATCAGGTGTCGGCGCGGGCGTGGGCTTGCGGCTGGGGTCGGGCGTTGGCGCCGGCGTAGGCTCGCGGCTCGGATCGGGCGGTTCTAGCGACGGCGCGCCGGTGGGCTCGGGTGGCTCCGACGGTGCCCTTGTCGGAGGCATGCGATCCGTGAGCGTCGTCGGCTCAAACGTCGGAGTGTCCGTGCTTGGCGTCGAGGGTGCGGGCGGGGACGACGTCGGCCGAGGAACGGGAGCCGCCGTCGGATTCCCGGGTGTCGCAGTTGGCGATGGAGTCGGCTGCGGAACAGGGACCGCCGTCGGATTCCCGGGCGTCGCCGTCGGGGCAGGAGTAGGCCTCGGCGCGGGCGCCGCCGATGGATTGTCGGGAGTCGCGCTCGGAAAAGGCGTCGGCCTCGGCACCGGCGCAGCCGATGGATTCCCTGGAGTGACCGTGGGCGACGGTGTAGGCCTTGGCGCGGGAGCAGCGGTCGGATTCCCTGGAGCGACGCTCGGAGACACGCTGGGAGACGGAGTGGGCCTCGGCACAGGAGCCGCCGTTGGGTTGCCTGGATGGACCGTGGGCGCTGGCGTCGGCCTCAGATCTGGTGCCGCGGTAGGATTCCCGGGCGTCGCCGTCGGCGCAGGAGAAGGCCTTGGCACTGGAGCCGCGGTCGGATTGCCCGGCTCGACACTCGGAGACACGCTCGGCGCCGGCGTCGGCCTCGGTACGGGCACCGCGGTCGGGTTGCCGGGCTCGACCGTCGGCGCCGGACTCGGCTTCGGTTCGGGCGCCGCGGTTGGATTGCCTGGATGGACCGTCGGCGCAGGCGTCGGCCTGGGCATGGGAGCAGCGGTCGGACTCCCGGGCGTCGCCGTCGGCGCAGGGGACGGCCTTGGCACGGGCGCTGCCGTCGGATTTCCTGGCTCGACACTCGGAGACACGCTCGGCGCCGGAGTTGGCCTCGGCACGGGCGCCGCGGTCGGACTGCCTGGATGAACCGTCGGCGAGGGCGTCGGCCTTGGTTCCGGTGCAGCAGATGGATTGCCTGGATGGACCGTCGGCGCTGGCGTTGGCATGGGCATGGGAGAAGCGGTCGGATTCCCGGGCGTCGCCGTGGGCGCCGGCGTCGGCCGCGGCGCGGGCGCAGCGGTCGGATTGCCCGGCTCGACACTCGGAGACACGCTCGGCGCCGGAGTTGGCCTCGGCACGGGCACCGCGGTCGGATTGCCGGGCTCGACCGTCGGCGCCGGACTCGGCTTCGGTTCGGGCGCCGCGGTTGGGTTGCCTGGATGGACCGTCGGCGCAGGCGTCGGCCTGGGCATGGGTGCAGCGGTTGGATTCCCGGGAGTCGCCGTCGGCGCAGGGGACGGCCTTGGCACGGGCGCCGCCGTCGGGTTTCCTGGCTCGACACTCGGAGACACGCTCGGCGCCGGAGTTGGTCTCGGTACCGGCGCGGCCGTCGGGTTGCCTGGGTGAACCGTGGGCGCCGGCGTCGCCCTTGGTACCGGCGCGGCC